ACGCTGCGTACACAAGTTTTAAATTTCGTCAATAATTGCTAAAAATTTGTACAAAAAAATGTCAGCATTCCGTGCAGGAGAACATGATTTAAATTTCACCTATGTCTTGAGAAATATTTAACCATTGCGCAGGTCACACAATCGATCAAAAAGACACTGCTACTTTACCTTAATAACTTTAGCTGGAGAGATAAGACGACCTTGCAACTGATCCCAACAATCGACTATAGTAAAACCGAACTTCACAATATACTCCATATGAACCCTTGGCGGTATCAAAACTGACACTGGCAAGCCTTACGATGTCGGTTATATAGATCTTTCTCGAGAAAAAAAAAAAAAAAAAAGAAAAAAACTACCGCTTCGACTTCCCGTCACTAATCCCTCCACGATAATTGCTGATTAAAAGGCAGAATATATCTCTGAATCGATGTTTAATGGAATTTGCGGAAGTTTTCCGTCATTTGAGAGTCCAGAGTCTCTCTCATTGCCATGTGACGTGACGTTGTCAAGCAATAAACTCTTTTCGCGACCTAACCTCTTCTGTCATCAAACCGCTAAAACGTAAAGCGGACGCTTCGAGGGCAGGGGTAAACACCTTTTCAAATCTGGACCATTTGTTTATTTCTATTTTCGAAATAAAATATTGAAAAAAAGATGTTATGCGTAGTAAACGAGCAAGTAACTTACCCACAATTCACCAGCCCTCAACTTGAAAACGAGTTCCGTACGAAGAACTTACTCATATTAGTGCACAATAATTCCCCTATAGCTCTAATAATCTTAAAAATTGAACTTTCCTCGGTGAAGAAACAACAATAGACAGAGAGGGTACGAAATTAGTCTGACGATTAGAACACGTTCAAACAAATTCAAGATCAGTATTGCGCAGACTTAACAACAAGATTTTGATAAAAAAGATTACGGATTTCACTAACGTTACGCACGTGGCATTAGCGCTATGACACTGACGATAAAAAATAATGAAATTAATAGCAATGAAATTCTCGAATCTGCTTGTGCCAAGCTTTCAGCTTATTAACGGATCCATAATAAAAAGAAAAAATATCCCGATTTTGAATCAATCAAAAGTTACGTCAACGGAAATGGAAAATCTCGATTATTAACAACAGTAGAGGATAAGCTAAAACGTGATTAAAATGAAGACAATTTCAAGATAACATGATAAGAAGAGGAAGGGTCAAGACTTTGAACGTGATCGTTTCTTCCACTTCCGCGGTCTGTCTGCGGTCGCATTTTTCTGCATAGAAGACATCGTACATTCCACATCGCAAAATGCTCACCATTCCTTTTTCTTATGAGATGCAGCTGTGTTACGATGGGCATGTGTAACAATTAGTCGATTACCTAGTATCTATCAGAAGTTGATAAGGTAGAATTACCCGCTGCAGGAAATTCTGTAAAGCAGGCACTATCTCCAAGAGCCCTATATTAGACCGACTTTCGCGAGGAAATGTTAACAGCACTTCAGCTGGATCCAAGAAAACCGCACAGCAATGAATGCGCTTGTTAAAAACAAATAACAAAGCTGAGGAGAAGAGATAAACTTCAGAAGCCAGAAACTATATACAAGAGTGAATTTCCTTGATAGTCTTTTATAGACAAACAAAAACAACGTTTCAAATCTTAATTTATGTGATGAATACTACGACAACACGAAAAACAATCTGAAAAACATGTGCATTGTTTTCAGAGGAGGGTGATATATTGTGTTCCCTTGTACCACTCCAAGTCGGTTGAAGAATAGTAATTTCTGACTCAAACCCAGGCTCGTTAAAACACTTTAGGGTTACAAAATGTGGCAAGAACGCACGAATATTGGCACGAAAATCACTTTCAGACACATGCGATCCGTCATGGCAATTGACTGAATCCAAAAGAAAAATGTAACTGACTATGACTACGAAACAGCGACAAAACACATCCCTAGAAACGTAGCTTATTAGGGGAATAGACGACCTTAAGTGGAAGGATTAAAACAGATTCTTTATGAGACTGAATAAAAATCGGCCTACCAACATGGCAACAAGCTTACGACTCTTAGAATTGTCTGTGTGAGCTTGCTGTGAAACGAAAGATGGGAAACTGCGTTTACGATAGCTATGGCTAATTTTGGAACGACAAAGACTTTAATGGGACTAAGAAGGAGATTTGGATCAGATATCAAGATTAGCAACAAAAACAACAACAAAAAACTGCTTGCCAGCGGTGGAAGATCCACCCCAGTGCACCGCACACCGCATACAATTTTTTCCTCGTTTCTCTTGCTCCCTACATCTACCAAGCCTGTCTCGTTATTATTCACTTTTCCTCTTCAAACCAGCGAAGTAACTACATCAACATTCGACAACGTCAATATTCTCGAAATTACAGAAGAGGAATTCTAAAATATTCTTGACAGTCTATGTGTTTCAATAGGATTTGTTAGGTCAATAGGTCAACTATATACTAAAATTGGATTAGCATGAACACATGCACGCAAGTAAACAGGAATAACCACAGACACCTCAAACGCACGAACAACCGAACAAACATCTCCTTGACAAACAAAACCTTTGTTAGGATCGACACAAGGATGTCGTTCAATGCAGGAGAATTTCTGTAACATCTACCATCTCAAATGAAGTTTTGGTATCAAAGTGATGCAAGACTAACGAGTAAAAATAGACAGCGGTCTCACACTTTCTGGATTATCCCTTACTGAATCGTAACGCATTGTTTGAACGTCTTTTCCTGGTATTTGGTCTTCTCTGCAACTTGTCCACTGGGATTCAAAACAATTTTAGGTAAAAATCTAAGCTGAGGTCGCTTACTGATGCTTACACCAGGAAGGAACTCGAAATTCCATTCGTTACCTTCCTAACAGTGCCCTCATCTGATTTATAAATTTGACCTACAATTTTACCAGCAAAGTAAAGATGCAATTTACTTGAACATAAAATAAGAGGTTCCAAAAACTTTATCCCGAAGGACACTTACAAAATGAATTTCACGGCTTCTCTTAAGCATTGATCGCTCTGCTTCAAGGTTTCTTACGGAACAGTTAACGAAATAAGATCTTGTCACCTACGTGTATTGAATTTTTTTCCAGTTTTGTTTGTTCGCTTGTAGTGTTAGGCCATAAGAAAACGTGTTTTAAGAAACCTTTTAGGCCCGGAAGCTCATCTCGCGTTGCCTGGGTGATACTTGAAATTTATCGTTCAAATTACAACAGAAATCCTCTATAGGAACGCGAATGGTGAAAAATAGACGAAATATAAACAAAAAAAACATCTGGTGTAAGTATATAAGTACAACTTGGTTCAGGTTAAACTGAGAACGTTTTAATTGGGGAAAAAAGGTCATTTATCTGAGATAACTGAGGAAATACTATTTCCTTTTTTCTACAAGGACTGCAACATGCAATATGACTTCATGCTGTCAGATTGAAAAATAAACAGATGCTATCAAGAAGCCGATAAATTTAAGTTCATTTTCGCCAGGAAACTCAAACAATCTTTCCTTCAACAATTGCCTAACATCCTGCACATACTTTGTAAGTGAATTGTTACGTAATAGAAAGTACCATATTACGAATTCAGGAGAACTCCTCAAGGGAACCCTTAAAAAGTACACACATGTACATCTCTGCGTAACTTTAATGGCTGATAACTTTTCGTCTCCCAAAAGTATTAAAGGGAAAAAACACTCCAAAAACAGCTCGTTCCAGTCCCATATTTAAGGTAAACACAATCTTCGAAAGCAGATGTTGCTTACTTCCTGCTTAAATCTAACGGATGCATATTGATAAGGTGCAGTTGATTGGTTTGGCCATTAAAAGGTCACGAGCAGCGGATTTTTTCAAAGAGAAATTGAGCGGCTTGGCAGATTTGAAAAATGGCATAGATGGAAGGTCAGCTGAAAATTTTAGGTCGGATTCTTTTTGGGTCTGTGTGCAAGTTAGAATTGAGGACTGCATTTCCAGTTTTCAGTTTTGACGCCTCAAGCTTTTCCAACCTACAGACCTAACAACTTAGCAGCTACGTCTGTAAAAAATCACATAAAAATTATGTTCTCAATCGATAGCCAATAGCCTTAGGGTAATTTACTTTAAGTACAATCTAAACACTGCTGAGGTACTCATTTTCCATGTGAATTTAATATATTCCTAGGAGAGTTTCAAAGTCATGCCGATCCAGATTTGAACAAAAATAACTTTGGATCGACGTACGAGGCCATAAAATGGCACGCACTGGCGGATTGTTATACCCCTTCATATAATCATCCTTCTCAGAAATGAATACGCGCTTCTAAAAGAACTATTCTTAAATTGTTTTCAATGAAGTAACACTAAACATCAACATCTCCACCGATTAAGACTGAATGGGGGAGGGGACAAAACCGTGGGGGTGGCGGAGAGGTAAATTGGTAAGCGTTTAAACACAAGCGTGTTCATCATCAATAAGCACTAAGTGTAATAAGCACCTAGTGTATTCCAATCATAACTACTTATAGTTTCAATGTTTTGAGGCTTGAAACTGATCTTTTTTTAACCGAGGACGAAGCAATAGATTCCGAACACAATGGGCCAAAAATTAATGTCGTGTCTTCGAAATATGAGTGGAGAATCTCAAAACAGTTTCAATAAGAAACTCACAAATCAGGGCGTCAAAGACAGCTCAAGAACAATAACAACAACAAAATAAACAAACAAAAATTAACGATCCATGTTGCGCGAATACATAATATGTGCTGCCCTAATGCGACAATGGACGTGCAACACATAAGCGAGAGAACTTTCAAGCAATATACATTTTAAGAAGCTATCTGACCCATGCAAGGACAGAGGACATCAACGAACCTAAACAGAATGTACAAGCCACTCACAAAAGTAAGTTCTTTATCTTAACATGAAGCACGAATTCTTACCAAAAGTTGTCAGAAATAATGGCTGTCAACAGCCTAAGAAACAAACATTTAAAATGATAAGTTCCTCATACCTCATTCTCGGCTTCGATAACCTCCTCTTCTCGATCTTTCACCATCTGAAAGGATAAAACCATTAACAAATCTGATATTTTAGAAAGCGCTTTTCGACTGAAAGTCGAGAAACAAGATCTCAAGTAATCACACAAGACAAGAATATCACAAAGAGCCTATGGGAACTCAAAGTAAAAAAAAAAACAAAACAAAACAAAACACGAACATCCTGGAACGAGGTAAAATGTAGGAGACCAATTCGCAATTGGTTTGCCATTGGTTCGCAAATGGTTTCCGGTTTGGATCTGAATTGTTGGAAAAGAAAAAGGTTTTTCAAGGCAATTCATACAAAGGAATTTGGTTAAACTAATGTTGCCCGGGATTTCATTCGACACTCAAGTTTTAATGATCGAAAGCAACTGCGCTAGAGTTATTTCATCATGAACTCATTAACACGCGTGACGTCACGGTGACGTCAGATGGTACTAGGTATTACTCACAGTGTAAGATTCGTAATCAACTAAACGGAGTCCAAACGGACAAACCTGTTTAAATTTTGAAACTACTTTTGCCAGTTCTGCGTAATCACGGTGAGTTTCAGACGTCTTTTCCAGCAAGTTGGACAAAATTCTCTCGCACTCCAAGAGATGTTGAACCTGCAATCAAAAGCAATAGGCATTCAATGATACACTCCCCATTCAAGACAATGCACAGCTATATTCCACAAATTCTATTTCTTAAGTTGCATCTTAACGCTGCAGTTTCTCGTTCTAATGACCGGTACCTATTGCAACTTCTACCTATTGCCCACTGAATTATTTCTGCGTTTATCACCACGTCACTGCGTTCCCTTTGAATGGTATTGGAAGATACTGGTCGTAAATGATTCTCCCTGGAGCCAGGTATCTATGTGGAGCACAATTTGGTGATGCACTACTGCACATAGCTGATGTTTAGCTTGCATTTCAACTGAGTGTCGTGGAACCAAAACTGATGCGATCCCATATGGCTTACGATGTTCAACTGAACATTGCTCTTTAACTGTAAAAGGGAAATTTTAACAACTTGTTTGCCGAGTTGAATTTTCGTAACCGGAGCCATTCGTCAATTAAACAAGCGGTTTCAAAAACTATGTAGGAGAGGAGAGAAAAACGTCGGCAAAAACTTCACATGCTTCAAGCCATAACACGTTGAGAGATTACTCTGTCGGAGATCTATCTATTTTCAAAAAACCCCTCCACGTTTTTCTCTCCCACACAATTCTCCTCATTTTACTGAAGGACAAGCTTAACACCAACATGTGAACTCTGAACAATCGATTTCTAAGTTCAGTTTGTGAAGCGATGTTGGTGAGGTTTGTCGTCGACCATTTCAGTTCAATCACACCGAAAACACACATACTTCTCTTTAAATACAACATTAAAGCTTCCAAAGAAATGTTTTTGACCTTTCATCCCGTTTCTACATCTCTTTGAAAACGCTTAACCGAACAACTCAAGAAGAACTCATGTAGATTCCGGTATATTCAAGTGGATCCAATTATCTTGAAAACTCAGTATGCACGCTGCACGAGAAGGAGCTTCTCATTCCAACATTACAGCGACCAAACCCGATGCATTTCCATGCAAGAACTCAAATTCGGCTAAATTATAACAATCTTCTCTAATTCAGCGTTCAACCAGGTATCTCCGTGATTTTCATTAACATTGAATTTGCAGATAGACATCATTAAGTGTAACAATGACCCACTTCGCTTTTCATTTCAAGAGAGCTTCCATCGAGGTACATGTAGTAACTCTGTTAAGTTCAAAGACAAACGATGTACAAAATCGCTTTTGTGAAGTTAAAACTGGTGTTTAGAACAAAATTTTCAGTCATAAACTGTAAGCCACAGAAGAACATATATTCAACAACCATAGAATTTAATCAGCATTGTCTGTGCTGGCGAATATAATCATGATAAGAAAAATTCAATTGAGCATGCCTGTTTGAATGTTTGGAGTCTTGTTACAAGGTGCTCCTCTATATCCTGTGTAAACAAACTCCTATCACAAAACCAAACGAATTTCGAATACTGCGACATACATGTTCAAAGACCGACGATTATTGTTTGTGTGCATTACGACCAAAACATTCCATTTGCAAGGGACAAGATTGCAGGAGAACAACGGAGCAGAATTGTTATTCCAGATATTTCCTGGAACGGAAGTGTCGGCATTTTTGATTGAGCACATAACCCAAAGTTCCTAAAATAGAACCAGCGAAATTCTTTGCGGAAAAAAAAAGCCGAGGTCGACTGATCCAGATCTAAAGTTTAGGAATTCATGACAGCAATGTAACTCTCAAGGATGTCGGCTTTTCAGACCAACGACTACATTTCTCACGTGTTGGCTTTTTTGAATCAAGGAATCTAATCTAACCCTAAAGCCGTCGATTCAAATTGCAATACTGAGTGCCATACTCTACAGAACTATGTGGCGAAAGCGTCAATACCGGCCGTAAACACACAAAACAATTCATCGTAAGTGCGTAACTCCAATCAAAATATTGGCCAATTAATTTTCTTACCCGAAATGTTGAGCTTCTTCGACCTATTCTAAGCGCACTTTTCCATCGTTTTGCTGCCCGAAAACTCTTCCGAATCCTATTTCCAAACTTGCTCAACCGCCTTCTCCGCTGAGGAGACATACAGGACGGCAGGAACACGGGAGTCTTTGTCAGACACTCCGATGCAACAGGCTTGTGACACAGTGAAATCGGACGTGTGTGACTCTTGTAACTCGGATCATATTTCATTTTCGTCGACGTTCACTCAGATGTCACCTTTTCGCTTTTAAATTGGGTATAAAACACAAACACTCTAAATTACGGCACACACACATTCCGACCACCCGCAAAGAAAAGTAGAAATACTCCAAAGAGAAAGTAAAGATCAAGGCAGTCACGGTTTTCTTCGTTGAAAAAACGAAGACCAAAGAACAAGGAGTTGAAATTGTCTGCGTAATGTTAGTTAACTTGACATGAACTTTGAAAATCCGTTAATTAGCTTTATTTTAACCAAAACAAAACTATCTTTTCAGTTTTTGTGGCTTACTGCCTCCTTGTGGAGGCGAAGCCACTATGTCGTTTTGTTTTGTTACAGATTTACAAGGCTACCAACGACCGTTAAATAGAGGTGACCGCTTAATAGAGTTGTAAATTACAGTGATGAAGGGGAGAACAATTCGAGACTTTGAAAACTGACCGCTTAATACAGAGCTGCTTAATACAACTTCGAAACTATTCACGGTGGCCTAGTTACATTATCAACTCAGTTAATAAAACCAAAATTAAGCTGCTTAATACAAGTTCGACTGTACTTTTAATTTGAAAAACTGCAGACACTCAAATGCTCAAGGATATTGCGATAGTGTGCGGTCGTTTCACTTTCGCAAACTTTATGCATGACGCGTGTCACACATGAACTAGTAGAGTCTCTATGTTAATCGGACGGTCTGAGGTTCGATTCCTCTTGAGAACTAAGACATTTTTCTTTGTTCCATGCTGTAACAAGACGGCGAAACATCATTTTCTAAATCATCAGTTTTTCGCTCAAAATTTCCCCTTAGACATACGATTCAGACCGAGATATTCCCAATTATTCGATTCGCACTTACCGCTCAAAAAGTGTCTTTTTGCGAACACCTAAACAGTGCTCTCCCCCCATCCAAGAGTCATGATTATTACTTTTGCTAAAAAAAGAATTTCAAATGTTTCGGGAAAAGGACCAATACAACAAATACCTCAACAACCTCTTATCTCAAACCAAATACGACTTTATCTTCAAAGACGCTGTGTCCGGCCTTGTTAAAATAACCAAAAAAAGCCCTCATAAACGATCTTAATTTTCTCCCCAGACGACCCATGATATTTTACCCTCCTCACTTGGAATTGAGAATGAATTGTGAACGGGTGAATCTTGATTTGAATTTATTAGGTAAGGAGTCCACGCACCAACATCCGTCATCAGTTCGTGGTTTCTTTAAACTAGGCATTAAAGAAATGCAACATTCAGCACTTTCTCAAAACGTTTTTAGGAACACTCGGACAATTCCCTGTTGATAACCTTGTCCCAGAGCAATGAATATCAAAGAACTGACTTCAATTAAACAACACAAAACGTTGTGTTAAAAACATTTGTAATCCAAGTTTTTTTTCAGTTTTCCTAATTTTAGAAAAAAATTTAAGGATCGTGAGTCGTTAAAACATCCTTTCTAACATTTGACTTGTAGTTAGGAAAAAAGGGGCAAAAGAAAGAAGATGATGAAATTCAAATAACAGAGCTATACTTAGGACCTGAAATCGGAACTGGGTCAAGTTGGAGGAAAAAAATTAACAACTATCTCTTTGTTGTGCGAAAGCACAAACTTTCAAGTGAACTCATCAACTTTATTACAATACCCAACAGAACAAATGAGTTACTTTCAGCCCATGTTTACAAATATTTTCTTTGTCTTTTCGATTATTCTTCTCTATTTGTCACGTTACAAAAAGTTAAGACGAAACAAGAACATCACGAGACAAGGAGGAAGTCAAAATCTCCGCGTGAAATGTCACACGTTTTTGCCGTTTTGCTAAAAGTGACGAAGGCGAAATCGGTCGCCTAGTCGTCTTCCTGTAACATTTTCGTTTTCGCTTTCGTTATGCAACTTTTTTGCAATAAAATCAAGTTACAAAATAATTACTGATCTTAATGGATCACTTCGGTCCCTATATTTTCTCAACTTTGTGAATGACAGGACAATACCCAACAGAATAAATCAGTTACTTTCAGCCCATGTTTACAAATATTTTTTTCTTTACAAAAAGTTAAAAGAAAACAAGAACATCACGAGACAAGGAGGAAGTCAAAATCTCCGCGTGAAATGTCACACGTTTTTGCCGTTTTGCTAAAAGTGACGAAGGCGATCTCGGAATCTGTCACCTAGTCGTCTTCCTGTATCATTTTCGCTTTCGCTCTCGTTATGCAACTTTTTGCAATAAGATCAAGTTGCAAAATAATCACTGATCTTAATGGATCACTTCGGTCCCTACATTTTCTCAACTTTGTAAATGACAGGACAATTTTTTCATCGTGCGCGATGGCATTTGAAAGTTCTGGATTGATCATCTGTTTGGAATGCACTGTTGACCAAAAGCTGCCAATGTTTTTGTCGCGTTCGAAGGAAATTAGTGGGAGTTGCAAAGAGGTTTTATGACATAGCGTGCGTGCTTGACCTATATAAGTCCTATTGAGCCGCTATAAACAAAATCTTTATTTACGCACGCTAATAAGATGACGTGAGCAAGAAACCAGCGTAGAATTGCCCAATTTTTCCATCGGCATTGACCTTTTAGGTCCTGATCCAACAAGCAACAAAAATAAAGGCGAGCTACTCTTACGCACTTTTCGTGCTCTCCAAACTTCCCACGTGCATCCATAACTTGATATACGCACGCTAAGCATGAACAAATTCTTAAATAACAGTTTCCAGATCGGTTTGAAATAGGTATGAGAATTTTTAGAAAGATGGATTTCACTGCGTAATTGGTTGAAATGCGAGGGTCAATGAAATGTTCGAACGTCCTTTTCCTGCTGTGACGTAATTGTCGACCAATTTGTTGATCGAGGTGATGGCCTGCTTTGACAAAGCCTCTCGTTTTTTTAAAAAATCAGTGTCGTCACCACACAAACGATGAAGTATAGGAAAATGAGAAAAGAGAATGGAATTCTTGTCCTGTGATGGAAGTGAAGATAAATACCGCCTACAAAAAACTATCAGAGACTGTAGTACACACTGGTGCATGGACCTTTGCTTTCGGGAAAAACATTGATAAAAAAAGTCAGAGGAGTCAGAATTGACAGCGTGTATAAATTGAATGAATCCCTCTCTGGCAGAGGAAGTAGCGCCGATACAGTGGCCAAAGTAGCGACCATATAGAGCTCAGGATTAAGGCCGTTGTACCGATTGAAAAATTGGTCTTCAGTGTAACCTACAAAAAGATTGTCGTGGCTGGGTCCCATTTTGGTACCTATGGCTACACCATCGGTTCGTTTATAATAGTTGTCCCCGAATAAAAAACAGTTGAGGGTTAATATTAGTTCAGCTTGACGGAGTAGTCTTCCGAGCTATGTTTCTTGACGGTGCGAGACTTTGAACATCTAAAGCTATTTGGCATAAAACTTTTCAAGTTGGTCATTTTCAATTTGTGTTAATCCTCGGCTTCCTTAGCTTTTCTTCTTTCTACTTGGTTAATTTTTACCTCTTAGGGAATTGTTTCCACGAGGATGCAATTCTTCCAAGGTTTAATTACATTAAAGACAATTCTTCAGAGTAATGTAACCTAAATGGGCAACTAAACTTTTTACTACTTAAAATGGTACCGCTCTAAATTTGGAAGAGAATGTGACGAATTTTTATTCAAATACTTGCGCGGAACAACGCGCAAGTATTTGAATAAAAATTCGTTCGGATTGAAACAATGCAATATAATTCAATATTATATATTTTAAAAATAGACCTGTAATAATTACCCTGCACTTCAAAAGGCCCGAGTTTTGTATGTTTCTTTAGGCCGCAAGTAATTAATCAAATTGCCCTCGTTTAAATGCACAAAAAAGAATCCTCACTGTTCGTGTAACAAACCACGTTAAGAAACACAGGAACGTTAATCTAACGAACCGAAAACACGCGAAAGCAACAAATATTAAACGATGATAATGTTATCCCGTGCAGATCTAATCGCCGTTTGATCAGAGCGCTTCAACACTTTATGTCGCCAGCTGAGTAGAACACTGCAAGAAGGTCAGAAAGGTCGGTTCTAGAAATTAAAATGAGCACTTTTAAACAATGACTGCTTTTCAATAACTTTTGTCTACGCGACACATTGGCTGCAGTTTGTTATTTCACTGCGAAACCATTGCGCTCTTTCTGTCACTGAAAAAAAAGTTCAGATGTTTTCAATTATAAAACGTAGGCAAGTGATGAAAGTTCTAAAAACTCGAAACTAATTTTTCTATCTCATGGTGATCACAAGGCTGAGAAAACAAATTAGACAAGCCTTGGGCACACTCGATTATGAGATACCGCTTTAAAAAAAAAATAACCATTTAAGGAGAAGATTGATGAGCGTTTGTAAATGACCACGACTGAAAAACAATTCTATGATTGAATGTTGTAGAAACAACAATGGTATGTCAAGACCACAAGTCGACAAGAAATACATCCAAAGAAACGTTTTACTCGAAGGAAATCTAATGGTCTCAGTCATTTTCAATTGATACCACAACGAGTAAAACGAAATTTTAGGAAGGAGGAGTAAAAATTTCCATAGCATTGTGGATACACCTGTGGTTGCCTCTGGCGCCCGTCCATCGACATAAATTGATTCCTCCGAATTACCCCAGAAACATAAGCACAATTTGTTGATCAAATAAGATATAAAAACTGCATTTTGGCAGATAGTATCAGAAAATAAATAAACACATAGACACCGATTAATCTGAAAACCGATAAAGATCACAAAGGTCTACCGAGATTAAAATACCAACGAATGGATGTTATCTGTTCTTGAATGTTTTTCAATTTCAAGTTAATCAGCTTTTCTCCTCACCAAGACAGATCAATCTAATGTTTGTTAAGTTACAATAACGCCAAGTACTGATTCTAGAAAAGTGAATTCATTGGTGTACTTGGCAGGCGATACTTTCAATTGGATTGCAGGCAGTGGCTCTCAAAACTTCAGACCAAAAACAACAGAGGAACTCAATGAAACCATATACCTCAAGGATCAAATTCGTCCGCCTAGAATTGTGCAAGTTACGCTGGAGAAGAAACTTTATTTTAGCAAAGTTTTATATTTTCTGTTAGGTTGTTGAAGGTATCATCAGCTTCTACAGTGCTGAAATATATACAGTGGCGATCTGACAAGAATCACGATTGTCATCATCTAATCCTCTTGCAAATCTCGCCAATTTCAGTGTGTAGCTTTTTTTTTTTTTTACGTTTCCACTTTTTTTGTACTGAACCTCAGCAAGAGGTTTCTTGCATGTTATAAAATTGTAAATTTTGTAACGATTCAAGCAACTGTACCAGTCTGTTCATTCAACTAAATCATGGCGTGATTCACGATGAAATTATTAAAGGTGAAAGTAGAACAGTCAAAGTTCTCTTGCTTTTAAGAAGAAAGTAACTCGTGATAATGTCTAATCACTGACCCTTTACCATTCTTGGAGGAGAATCAGTTGGATTCTAACTAGTGACTCACCCATCTTATGGAGGCCGTTCTCAAAACCGCAAGGTATATCTGTATGACTCTCCTTTTACCTCCAGCACACAGAAGACATCGCTTCGCATCACAAACTCACTCTAGGTGCGCGTATGTGGTAATAAATCGACTCAGATATCGCACCAGTCCATTTAAATAAAAACACCGCCATAAAAAGTGGCACCGAGACTAACACAATGCATTAATGAATAAATTGCCTCAACATGGTCAAAAAAAAGAAATACCCACTGGCTTTAACAATAACGAATCCAGCTGAGGCCTGTGCGATCCCCTCTGGTTATGCACAAATGTCATAAATTCGCTGTCATTTTCTCTCTTCTGTCTCATCAGGCTGAAATAGCAAGAGAAAAATCGATCTGCTAAAGGTCTTACAGTATTTTTCAACAGCCCACAATCTTTTCTCAATAATTGCCCTGAAGCTTAAAGGAATATTAAGTAACTGCTTTGTGCATGTTTCAAAGTCCATTTGGAAAGCATTGCATTGCTGCCAACCCAACAAAGACACGCTCCCTCTGGCTGCTCAAACCGACTTTCAATCACGTGTGAAACGTGACTGAGATTACAGAGATTTCGTGACTCAAAATAATAAAGTCCTTAGAAAGGCACGTGCAAAAAAAGAGGGTGAATAAAAAAGAAATCAGAAAAATAACATAACAAAGATAATGACAATAACAAGACACTAGTACTAACAATAATAATAATAACAGTTTTAAAACCGTGTTTCCTCCTTGGGTTTTTTAAGTTATGAATCAATCATCGGCTGGGAAAAGAACGTAAGTACAAATGTACAGACTAATTTGTAAGACAAACAACCAAATCGTAGCGTCAATTGAAAAACAGTTTGTACCACTTCGATATTGTTTGGCATGTCTTGGTTGCACGACACAACACAAGTACGTATTATGCTCATTATGACAAAAGGCGCCGCTTTGAGACGTCATTCCTCTTAACAACTGTGGCCGAAAAATCTCTCAACCTAGCTAACAGCCATCCAGACACAACAGACTAACAACGCCCCCCTACCCCTCTAAAGAAAGACCTCACCGGCCCAACCCCCACCCCGTCCTCTCCTACACCTCTGCCTCAGTCATCCTAACCAATCATCTCACCGTATCCTACAGTAAAAGAAACCTTTTATTTTCTTTCTTATATTCCCCCGACACAGAATGCACGACGCCCTTTGACGACCCCTCTTACCACATATTCAAGAGCTTCCTCAATCTATGATTACAGCAAAGCTTATTAGACAAGATAATTATTTCAACGCAGCTAATCGTATCCGGTTTAAACATGATTTAACTGTGGCGCACAAGTGTCGTACTTACTCATCACCTGACCCTCAGCAGCCTTTCCGATAGAGTCTCGCGACGAAAATCATCGCAAAGTCTTAGCTCAAGAGACGACTCGCAAGCCTTAATGCGATCTGCCAGTTAGTCGGTGAGACAGATTGCATTTTAGCATGAAACTGCCAAAACTCAGCAGTTGCGATGACACCGTTTAAAGATACAAATTATCAAAACCAGCTTCCTAAGTTCAAAGGGCAAATAAAGGGCATCTCTAACTTCTCAATGAAATAAACAAATAAATAACTTTAAAAACTTCTCAAGTAACCTGATGGGTGTGAAAATATCTGCAAGTATTAACTCACCAGTCCATTAGGTTGCTAAGATGACGAGAAATCTTTACGAACGCTTTAGTAAGCATATTAGCTTCTTCGGAAACTCATTCCAAGAAAGTTAACCTTACTGTAAAAGAAAACTGTTACATACTAACCACAACGCACGAGACCGAGTTATGTAAAAAGCCGTGCACGTGAGAGCCGAAGCAAGCGATCGAGAAAGAACGTGAACAACGAAGTAAACGAGAGATAAGGCACGTGAGAGCCGAAGCACGTGACACGTTACATGAATAAAAACCGAGCCGAAGCAAGTGACCAAACACGAGACTTAGGACCGAGAGAGGCCCTGGGAACCAAGTTGGCACAAACACACACACACTCAAGAATCCACACAGAAAAGCTCAACGCTTACCTCCTTGCAAACTTGAATGCCAAGTAGTAATCTTCGTACATCTCCCTGAACAAAGGAAACTCAGCATAAATGGCACCTAAACAAAAATAGAATTACAAGTTGGTAAAGGCAACCACGAGTGCAACTGAAGAATGATCAAGAATATGCCATAAATGGTCACAAGTTCCCAAGATCTGATTGTTTATTCACCCTTCCAGCTGTGATATGTTTCCATGTAAATTTCTTGGGAGAATTTAGTATTACATCCAGGTAGTAGACTCAAGATAAAAAGTTTCTTTATTGCATTTCATCCTCAGTTTGGAAGATGACACTGTGAGAGGAAGTAATTGCAGCTTGTGCTGGAAAAGGTTCCCCATCAAATCAAAGATTTAACTACACAACTGATTGAATAAAAAAAAGGGGTTGATAATATATACAGTTTTATTTGTTTACCTATTGCAGTAGAGGCTGAATTCCAATTATTAGCAGCTTCTTCCACCTAAAAATAAAACAATAAAAAGGTACCAAAAATTCTCCTTGCACTGTAAGAAATTCCTATTGCATATTCCTGTATAATTTGGCCTACACTGTATTTCCTAATGACTTATTGCTCATAACATTTTTGTGCACCTACATTTTTCTATCTACACTGATAAAATAACACAGAGGCCTGGCTAAGGTTGGGTGTTCTTAGGGTAATGTTACCCACTCTGTATTGTGGCATCACAACCTGACAATCTGGCATGCCCCACATACAAGGAGGGGCCCACTGTTGGACACACCAACCCCCCTCCCTTCAGAAGAAAATTCCTCCTATGCACATGCATTATCAAACCAATCATCCCTTTTAATCTGTATAGCTAATAAAGTCTGAATAGAAACCTGAGTAAGGAATCAATAAAGAAAAAAAAACTTACTTTAACATAAAGAGAAGAACTCAAGGTACATATTGGCTCTACATGGGCAAACAATGTATGATGTTCAGCCCTTGAAAGTTTACTTCTGCACAAGACAAAATTGTGGAAAACAAATGTCAGATCCAGATGAAAATTGTAAATGAAAGACAAAAAGCATTTAATTAGTAATTTTCATAAAGTGTCTCAGTTAGCAGAATCTTTTGTGTTAGAAATTTGATGTTCTCAGAAGATTTCCCACTTTGAGAGGAAATGTATGTAAAAAAGATCATTCCCCATTTACCCTTCACAGAAAATTTGCTTTTGGCCCATAATGAAATCATCCTCCGCAAAGTTGCACTATGACAAAAACAAGGTCCAAAATTGCAACCAGCTGGTTACCAATGCAACTGAAAATTGGTTTTTGGCAACCAGAATTGTATTACTGGTCAACAGTTAGCATTAACTTAAAAGTCTTGTCAGTGTTCCACATGTGAACTACTGCTCAAGAAACCAAATGTTGAAAATGTCTTTTGCACTTTTATCCATCCAAAAGAGGATCATTCACAAGAAGGAATATGTTTTAAGGCAAAATTGTTGTCACAATTGTAATATTTCATGTTCTGTTGTGATATGTAAGTGTAAGGAATGGGACTTGTTGACTTTGAAGTTTTTCCACCCACCATTTAGACCAAAATAATGATGGTGCTTCAAACAGTTCCATTATTATCAGAAGCATTAAGAATTCTTACTTTAATGGTTCAGCATACAGTTCAAACAGGCTCTTCAAGCAGTCATTGTAAACTTCTTCTGCATAAACTAGCTCTTTCACACAGCGAAGTCTATCATCTTTAACTGGAATGGCAATACAATCAACAAAATATTTAACACATATGATTTTCACATATTTACAGTCAAAATAAACACAAGTTGGTTTGTAATGTCGAGGATAGGTAAAGTGTTTTAATCAAGATCACAGCATTACACCCAGGCTGGAGCTCAAACTGAACCCCCTTAGAAAAGTAACCAAATTTAGACTGCCCATCATGGGCCAGTTGTTCAAAGGCCAATTATTGCTAACCCAGGGTTAAATTTGAATTCAGGTTTCTACATTTCTCTGTTCAACAGCTATTTTGGGATAATTTTCCCAATTGTTTCTACAGCATTCAATCTTCAAATTGAAGAAAAATGGAATTACACTTCATCTTCTTTTAGAGCTACAGATTTGAAATCAGACTTCACACTAACCCTAGGTGATCATAACCCAGTTTTGAACAATGCTGCCCAGGGGTTCATAGAATATATGACAAAAATAACAATTAGGTTGAAACTAAATGGCAAATAAGAAAAAGTAGGCAACCCTCTTATCAATGGCACCAAGTTTTTTTATCAGATTACATGCAAGACTAGAAACAATTCAGTCAAAATGTCCCAAGTATTAAACAAAGTTCACATGAACCTTCAAGAAAATTCTGAACATGAAATGCATTCAAAAAATTAATAACTAGTTAGTGGTGCAGTAAAATCATGCATTCAATTACGCTATTTTTGTACAATTTTCCATGTAGTCTTAAGCTAGAATGAAGTGGTAAAAAAAATGGCTGAAGGCTACCTGGTGGTTTTGGCAGGTCAACCCTGTTTTTGAGTGGCAAAGGAGGTGCACAGTAGAACCACAATTGTACAAGATGTTCCTTGCCAGGAACACTTCATGCAAAGTTGTCCAGACTAACCAACAATCCAAATGTGCACTATTCTACTTCAAACAACTACCTTGTATCAAACCCTTTGTAACAAGTGCAGTATTTCCACAAAAACTCACTTGTATGAAGATTGTCAAGCTGAAAATTTGACAGCATCTTGTCCACATCCTCAATGGCTATCTCTGCATTCTCTACAGATGTAGCACTTGCTTCAAGATTCAGAAGAGTCTTTTCCGGTAAAGTGCGCACTTGGTAGTTGGTTAAATTGTATTCCTGACAGATTCCAGCAACAAGATCCCTCACTGTCATGTTACGCTCTGCACTCAACTAAATGTGGAAACAAAATACAGAAAACATCACCACATTATGTTTTGTATGTGTGTAAAAATGGCCAACACCACTTAATTGACTTTTTTTTCAGTGCCTTTACTCAAATACTTTGGATCTATAAACCATCCAGTTTTGATATGTTTATTTTTTTTAGGGGAAGGTGGCTATTCAGAAAGGGTAAACACTTTTGAAAAAGCCTCTTCTTCCCTTGTTTTGGGTATTTATGCAAGAACAGTGCAAAATCAATAGCCTTGCATAATGCAACAAATTTTGTTGCAAATACTTCATAAATTATAAAAATTATAAAAATTGTATTCATATTAACTTGTCTTTATGCTATAACTTTAACTACCATAATCCAAAACTTAAAACTAAAAAAAAAAAAGAACTAACATTGCTTCAATTTGTAGAAAAGAGAAAAAAGCAAAAGTAAAATCTGTATCCAAAACAAATTGCCCACTGCACCTAAATGCATCCAAGTTTTCTAAGCATAGAGTGACTACATGTACCTGAAGAATGTATTAAATTAGAGTGAAAATTATCCTTCTCCTCAAGCTTGGTGAGTATTGTCTGGTTATCAGCTTGCCTTTATTTCTATTCATACTGTGTTCAGTAAATATTTTGTCTGTGGTAAATGACCAGTTCTTTTGACTGAAACTACACCTACATTTGTCACTTAGTGGCCTCCCTAATAAAAGGGGCAAGGGCCTACTTCACTCAAACACATTTTCTCAGCATTAAATTTCACTACTTTGTAAATATGCATGTGAAGAAGTACATTCCTAAGGAACAGAAAAATGACTTTCACAAAAATTTACTAACAAGTTGAGAAAAATAAATACAAAGATACCCTGAGACAAAAAACTTACCATACACTGAGGGAAAATACAAGACAAGAAACACTCATACGAAAAAAGTTTAAATAGACACAAAAAAAGACACAGCTAAAAGGGACATGAAATATGATATATAAAGGGCAAAAAAAAAAAAGGTGTTGAAATGATACATGGAAAATGAAAATAATATGTGTAAATGAGTTGGTGTGTAAATACAAGACCTATTTGTGAGAGATGAAAAAAAAATCACTCATTTGCCACAGCTGCATTAATTTTGACCAGCATCTTTAATTAACCATTTGATGCTCCAGCTCACTGATCTTACAGTGGCGCTTGTGGATACGTTAACTGCGCAGATGAATTTCATTAACGCTCAGACACAGGGTAGTCATACATGTATGTACAATGTTTTAGCACGCGTGACTCATGTGCCTTTGTTATTCAGTGCTACAAGTTTCCTTTGTATTACATTGATGTGTGAAACAAAGAACTTTTAGGTTTGAAAAAGCGGCAAGTAGCTTGTAGTTCTCTACTCTGGGTACATTTATTTTTGTCAGCAACATCATAACCTTGCATGGGCTACATTTGCACATGCATGTGCATATCAACTTAGACTATTTCAAGGTAAAAAAAAGCAAAACAAACAGAAACAATTCAGTAATCCTTTGGACTCTAACATCAGTATGCATATTCTCCATACTGTTCTCTATACATTTCCTAGTGTGTTAACAAAGAGAATTTCAAAATTCAAGATCTTCTTAAGTTATTGATCATTTCCTTCATTCTTGTGACCGTAATATTTAATTCAGGAGTGAAACCGAAGAGAAAAATTTCCATCAGATGCGAGTCCCTGGTAGGGGTCAAAGGGGTAAACTTGAGACAGCAAGAGTTGTGCAGAAGCATCTCTTTGAACTAAAAATGTTAGTTTTAAATATTTTTAGATTCTATTACTGTCATGAATACAGAATTATCTTTGGATTATGATCATCTCAAAATTTCAAGTCATGATGGTTTTTTTAAATTTTTTTTGATTAAAACCCTGGATTAGACACTTAAAATAATAAACCCCTTCATATAGTGACACACAAAGCATTTCTCTAGTCAAGTTTTACTCAGAGGTTAACACCAACTTTCAAGAAATGAGTTAAAAATGGTGTCAAAAAAACTACTATGCAATTGCAAAAACATTCAAAAACTATAAAGAGAAGAGAGCCCAGGGAATATTTTCATTTGTTATCATTCTTATCTGAAGGGTACTTTTAAATGGTAAATTATATTAATAATGGTGATGGGACTGAGTGGAGTCCAATTTGGTCTGTAATTGGATGACTGCAAAGCAGGAGTCTGATTTGTTAATATCAAGTATTAGTATAGACAGAATTGGATGACAGGATGTTGTGTTACCAAATAATATGAACTATGACAAAATTTGAGAAAGAAACTAGACATCAATCATAAGTTTTCATAAAGTTACAAGGAAAAATGGGCATCTACAGCATGCACACTTGATGCACACTGTCCACTCACGTAGGCATGACCTATCAACTGTCCTGTTACACTGTCCAATTACATGCATGACACATACACTGTCCTATAGGTGCTCAAAACAAGCTGGTTATGACCAATCGTGTTCAAGAATTCTGTTATAGTTTTGATTAATTTTATAATAGCATTTCAGGCTTTTTCAAGCAATTTAACTCTAAATAAAGATATTGAGCTATCTGTTATTACTACAACCAAGGAAGCCTATCTGAAAACCAAAATGAAATGGTTATCTAGAATACTATACAACTATGCATTCCTTCATACTCTAAGTTCAAAATGGTGATTGCTCATGTTCTGTTCAATATCCTAAATTTAAATACACAATTTAAGCCAATTTAATGGTTCCAGGGTCAATAAAAGAGCAATTATATTCAAGCTTAACCCTCTTATTGATAATATATTAGACTGCAGAATATTGTATGTAAATATCTCAAGACCAACCCTGAAAAAAAAAAAAAAAAAAAAGAAAGGGTTGTTGGCAAATTGTAAAATTTTTCTGTAAAGAGAATTCTAACCTTCATTCACATGTTATGCAGATTCCGACACAACGATTGTTTTGGTTTTGAAGTTTGACGTGTCAAGAAATTGACCAAAAGAATACCAGAAACCGCAAATTTAAAGCGAGATCGAATTTGTTAAGTATTTTAAAAGTGGGTTTACCACCCAGAATTAATTACTAGGACATTCCTCGATGACGGCGTCGATTAAGGAAAGAATCGTCGAGCTCTGAGTAGAACTCCATTCAAAACTTTACATAACATGTGTGTATTTATGTAACAAGGACCTCGATCGCTATGAAAAGGTCTCGAGACTTAATTCAGAAATGACATCTTATGATCTAGACCGTAACAAGCCATTGAAGGAAAGGAAATGACGAATTGACCAAGGTCAAATTAAACACATTGAGCCGATTTTCGAATCACGCACATTAATTCCGATGATCGGGTTGGTTTGTTATTTCAAAACACTTTCAAAAAATATTCTGAAGAGTTTTACACCAATGTCTGCAAATCTCGCTTCCCGTTTTTTGTTTGCTCAACTCAAAAACGATAAATCGCAGTGTGAAGCCACTCAACACAGTCACTCTGTCAAACAAAACATAACATCCTCTTGGTTAATACCGATATGCAACGGTCGCAATGGTGCATGTTTAACAAAACATTTCCGCGTGAAACCACAAGATTATTAAACTTATTCGACTCATGGGTGTGCAAGGTTTATTTTCCGTATAAAACAGCTGATAACAACGCCGAAAATATTGCGGATTTGACGACAGACATTTTGGAATCAACATGCCGCAGTATGAAATTCTACCACAGTATTCCAACGCTGTACCCAACTGCTCAATTAAACGCCAAAAAAATTCCATCACATTCGAAAAATGCGGCAATAGGAAACACCAAAGAGACTTACACGCACAAATAATAACTGTGGCACAATTTTGAAAATAAAACACAACAATCAAAAATTGCTTGCTACAATATTGCTTAGTCTACGCGATGAAGTCCTTCAGCCTTACCAATCTCGGTTTGCCATCGGGAAGAATGGCCTTCACCATAAAACTCTGACCTTGTCCTTCGTCCATACGGAGTATATTTAACACTCCAAGTAGAGTCTGGTCCGTCATCGATCTGGTTCGATTTAGCAGCGAGATTGACGACGAGAAGGAGTGTTTTCGCTGCCTTGTTTTCGCACTTGTGGCGGCAGTCGCCATTTTGCTGTGTGGATTCCAACTACAGACGGCTGCAGACAAAATCAAACAAGGTAGAGGAAAAACTCAGCGTTTTTTCTCTAAAGGGATTCATATGGAAAAGCTCACAGCTGATTCAATAAACATATCCACGACTATTGCCCAACAACCACGAGCATAAAATACATTCGTACGCTATTTTTCTAAGCCGTCGAGAGGTTTGTAATTCATGTTCAGCACCGAAGTTGGCGGAGCGTGAAGTATGTACAAAACAATGTAGATTGGCTTATCAGCAATTTGATACACCCTAAAAGCTTCACTCGGGGCAATTAAAATATGGGGGTACATAAATTACGGTCATTACCCCATCAAATCCGGGATAAAGTTACATCAAAAATTCAAAAAAGTTCTTCAAACCCAATATGTTTGATACAGTAATCGACTTTTTTTTACCATTTAAATCAGAAGAAAGCTTCGAGTTAATTTATACACCCAGTAGACTTATCAATAAAATGAAAAAAATTTGCCTATCGGATCCGTCTTGGTTGGCCGGAACAAATATATCCTCAGTGGTAAAATATTAAGTTTAGGGAAGATTTTAAATTACATTTAACTTGCAACAAACTTATGCTGATGTAAGGCTCGGCTGGAAAAATGCTAGTTTGTGAGTGAAACATGCTTGACTGTAAAAAATCTTTATTCACAATACAGAGAAATGTTGATTCTTAAACAGATCAGCTCAAACAGCAATACGAAAAAACCCAGAAAAAAAAAGGCCCTGAAAAGTGGCAGCTTAAATGCAGATCTGTTCAAGAAATAGACAGGTTGTTACGATCAGACGAACTTGCATGAATTTTTGTCTCCGATTGTATACATTCGCGAACATGTTTTTACTCCGAAATTGTCTTAAAAATATTTGACCCTTTTCTAATGTCTTTCTAGACTCTTGAAATCGGCTTTGCTATCAGCCTCATTAGCTCGTCTCTTCTCGACAAAACCAAGTCAGACATACTGCATTAGATAGAAAAATTTTATCGTTCAATCCTGAGTTATTTCCTGAGGCGTACTTCCTCTCAGGAGGTACCCAACTTACAAGCAGACAAGAAGAGGCTCGGCAAGGAATTTCCTTCCGCAAAAATGTGAGGAGGTTTGTTTTTTTAAGATCAAATAACAGTCAATTCTGGGAGAGAAAGAAAACTTTTCTCTCCGAATTTAGCGTTTTCGAGAGAGGAACATTTGCCATAAACTTGTGTCAGAGAAAAATCTGAGTCTCCTATCGCGTCCGGAGTCGAACCCTAACGAAAACCCGAAAGAGTCCTTGGGCCAGGGACCCGAAAGCGCGGTCAATTTCTCAAAAGCATGCTTATTTGAGTTGAAAGCTTTTTTAAAATTCAGAATGAGTCTTTAATTTCAGACTTCTCCAAATTTTAGGTAACAGTCGATAGCGGAGGTGTTCAATGGTTCAAACTTAGCTACTAGGAAAGAGCCTCAGACGAAAGGTAATCCTCTTGGAGATTTAAGACTGTTTTGATAATTTTCATTTGGTCTAAAAATAAGGGCTGGGTCGCACTAAGCAAGCTCTAGATTCTAGCTTATCCGTTCAAGATCCACCTTTGTTTGTTTTGGCAATGCAACCTGACCACAACGACCATTTTACGTGAAAAGTGCCAAAGAGAGAATGAGGTTAAAACGGAATACTTGGAGGTCACCTTTCTCCTTTACTCGCAGTCTAATGGAAAAGTAGCAGGAACTTCAAAAGTTGTAGGAACGTCAAAAGCTTATCACTGTTGACTCTGATTTGTCATCATGCATATTTTGTATAAGCAAGTTATATTTGGCAGTGCAGTTTGAAAATACCTACATCTACCTACAAAGATTTTCCTTGGCGATACGTAAAGTACGTAAAGATGAAAAACTCTCTTAGTCGGATGCGGTCTTTCGAAATTAATAGAAAAACTAGGATTAGGGGGAAGTTGTTGATCAAACGTGAGTAACATTGTTAAAATATCAATTTGATGTGAAATTGACTCAGTTCTAAAGTCAATTAGCTTTTAGCGTCAGCAGGCCCCAAGTTGACCTTAAAACGGCGAGCCTGTCAATGTTGGCTCCATAAAATCCATAAAGTTATCTCTCAGAGATACAGTAGAACCTCGACTTAACGAAGTGCCAAGGGACTGGAGAGATTGGTTCGTTATATCGAGGGTTCGTTATATCGAAAACCTAGATTGAACGAATTTGCGGAAAAACAACCAAAATGTTCGTTATATCGAGGGATGGTTGCTGAGATGTTTTTTTTTTGTGGCGTTAGCATTTTGGGATCGGAACGATTACTGTAAATAACGTTTGTGCTTTAATGTCTGTATGACGCTACAGTACGCTGTACACTGAGGTCTGTACATAGCTACAGCATCTTGTTTTTAAAGCACGGAGGACAAATTTCAGTGAAAGTCACTGGCAAACGGACTGAAACAAGGGTATTGGACTGGAAATTCCTGCCTCTTACACCTTTTACTACAAGAAGCCTTCAAAAATAAAGAGGTCAAATTCCACGTAAAAGAACTAATGAGAGGCGAAGAGGATAAAGTAGATCAGTAGTAGATAGTGTCAGTGTTGGCATATCGGGGTTTATTATACGTTTGAGCTTCTGGATTGTGTTCTTTATAACAAGGATTTCGTTATATTGAGATTCGTCGAATCGAGAATCTTTCCCATGCATTTTACTGTGACTTTGGCCGGGCTGAAGAATATCGTTAGTTATACCGAGGACTTCGTTACATAGAGGTTCGTTATATCGAGATTCTTTCTCATATATTTTAGTGTAACTTTGGCCGGGCTGAAGATTATCGTTCGTTATATCGAGGACTGCGTTAGATAGAGGTTCGTTAAATCGAGGTTCTACTGTATAGCGTTTTTAACCTAAGAGCCAAGTACTGGCACTTAAGAATTACGAGAGGGGAAATTATGAGAATTGATAATCTGCCAAAATTCTTAAGATTCTAACGAAGGGTGAGTGACCACGTCTGAAATGTCGACAAAGTTGTGAGGCCGTGAGGAGAGCTGTTAAAGAAGAGAAGGAGAAGAGGTATCCCTCAAATTTTGTCACTGGTGAAATCTCATCTACGTCAAGAAAGTCTTTAGTCTGGCTATGAAAACTCGTTTGTCACAAAAACGAAAAACACCTTCATCATCCTGGCGCGCTTAATATCAACCATCTTTCCTATTCTTTTTACCCAAACTCGTGAGTATCCTGGGGGGGTAACCCCCCCCCCCCCCTCCAACCTGAACATGACATAATTTTCAGGTTAGCGCCAGAAGCAGAACGTGAACTTGTTTCATTTTGGAAAAAGAAAATACTATTAATCATTTTGTTTGCCTGGTATTTCACTGCAGAGAGATCCGTTTGATGATCGTACAACTGGCCGTGGATGTATATTGATCAAATTAGCCATCTGCCAAATTTTGAAGGCATTTGATCGATAAAGTGAACAACACAAACTCTTAATTTTCAGAGTCTTAAAAAACCTTTATAAATGCTGGTTACTCTAATGATTATTTCAAACACTACCATTACTTTCTTTATTATCCCTTTTTGATTGTACTTGAATTTTGCCAAGGGAGACGAGATACCGATTAAACATGACAGCTGCAGGGCGTGAAACAAACAGAGTCATAATTTGCTTCTGAACATTGTGCTTAATAAAGAGTGTTAAAGTTTGCCAGCGGTGGGGCATTAATTGCAACTGAAACTTAAAGCGATGTATTAAAGAAAGATAAATCAATGGTCATTCATTTCCTTCACTGGAAATGAAAACAAATCCACTTCGTCGTTTACTTTGCAAGGTGTGTTTTTGTAATGAACGTTTTCGGTCTAAAACTCGTCTGAAAAACATTACGCATTCAAAAGTATTCGAAAGTTGCTGCCTTTTTACCCAACTTGGCTTGTAAAATTTGATTGGAAATACAAAACTAAGCGCAGATTGTGAGGTTTCCTGCTCTTTTCAATCCTTTAAACATTCATTTACTCCATTATACTTGGCTGCATGGCACGATAAAGGATCAAAGGAATTCTCATCAGAGATGTATTTGTTTACTTTGTGATAAGTGACTGTTTACATAACAAATAACTAAGGTCGTTATTCGAACGTATTATACGATCCACGTTTTATGGATATTTCACGAGGGATTAATCTGATGCGATTCACAACTGGATCGAACTATCAAAGTATTTGGGATCCTTTAGGAATCAGTTCAAAGAGCGTTGGTTTCGCGATTTCGTGACAAAAAGAATTCACGACTACACTGAATCATATATCCCCTCCGAGTCCATTTCGAGCGAGACGTTTTCTCAAATTTAGTGTGTTGCGTCTGGCGGCTCATAAGCACAATTAAAAGGCATACAGAAAGATAAAAGTTTTATCGGAAAAAAGCTACAGTGACTTTGACAAAGTGGTAGTCCCTCAGTTCGAAGGGAATCGATCGGACATATGACTTTTTTAGAGTAAAGTAGTGTAGACGTACAAATCCCACAATGTGCTCTTGTCATCAAAGACGACACTTTGTGAGTGCTCGGGTAACCTCCTGATGGTTATAAAGAAGGAATCGGTTGGAATATTTGCTAATAACAATAGATCTTTAACAATTAAACGGAACAAAATTTGCAAAGGAAAAGAGAACAAATAAACAAAACAAAATTAAAATCCTTGATCACAATACCTGCATGGCTGGCTCCTGAGTCACTGCGTCACGTTACTCTTGATTGGCTGTTTCCTTTCCAGTTACTACAAGAACCTAAACAAAAGAAAATAATAAAACAGAATAGAATTGAACTCACGCGGAAAATGGAAATGATATTGGCGCTTGAACCTGACAGCACGCGCTTTTTGTAAAATCAGTATTACACAATTTGCTTCGTAACGAGAGAATATTCAAATTTATGTGAATGAAGGCAAAAAAAGTTCTCAAAAAAAAAAAAAAGGAAACTACTTCCCGCTTTGTCTCCGATAATTCCAGACTATCGATCGGAATTGTCTTCGTTAGTCTGCAAAATCTGGGACGGCTCGAAAACAGTAAAATCCCCGAGATATCTCCCTGGGATTTTTCCGAAGGGTTTTCCCCTGGAATTTTCCCCCGGGATTTTCCTCTGGAATTGTCCTAAAAGGTGCTTCTCTGAAATTTTTCCGGCGATGAAAACTCGTGAAACTTCATTCCTGACATTAAGGCTCCATCCACTTTTTTCAAGTCACACTTGATAGTTCTGACATGTTTTTGTTAGTGTGCGTGTTAGAGTTCTCGCAATTTTTTCCGATTTCTATACTTAATATTGTCAAAGGGATATATATCTTTCATATTCAAGTCGCTGGTTGAACTAATCTGTGAAAATCTCTATGATTTTGGTCTGTGACAATTTTGGCGATAAGAATCAGTCTGTATTTTTTTCCTATTAACTGCCAGAAAGTTCCGTTTCCCTGATAAGAAAAACCTAAATGGCTGACACTGAAAAAATTTGATTGTTTTAATCATCAATGAGACAGGACTATAAATGGAGCTCTTTAGAGCAATAAAAACCTCTTATTAAGAAACCACATTTGGTATATCAACGCGCGCAAAAATTCCACGCATCCTTTAAGAATTATCTTCGAATTATAAGCGGTACTGATAGGTGCTAAGCCGATTATGGAGGAGATTAATGCTGCTGACTTATCAGCTATAAACAGACACAGCTTGCTATGAATGCACCTGCATAATGCAACTGAGATACGAACTAAAATAACAGAAAAGAGATTAGTGTCAGAGCGCAGTGGAGGGAGGGGGGGGCACTTTGATGGAAAAACCTTACACTTAGAGCATACCTTAATAGGAAGGATTTTTAAACTCTGTCGTTCAAGATACGATGCAGACTATGGACAGGATTGGAGAATTGGTCTAAAAATAGGTATGATTTGAAAGGAATTCGAAGTTGCATTGACTAAGGTTTCGCAAACAATGCTCCAAGCTAAAAAAATTTACTGGTCCCTGTTGAAGAGTTGGTGCTGATGGCTCGATCGGAAAATGTTTATTAATTATGGTTGCTGTTCATTGCTTCATTGCTTCGAAATTAATCCCGGGCGGACTTTCTCCGAGGCCATTCTCTGACTTCAAGTTGGAGCAAGAGAGTAAATAGATAGATTCTACGAAAATTGGGGCAAGGTAGGGCATTTTTTGAGCTAATTCTGTAGAATAGTGTTCTACCATATATAAGGGAAAAGCTCAGGGTTGCAGAATTCCAGTAGTGTATCATCGTAATAAGTGCTCTTCTTCTCAATCCTTGAACCACTGTCTTCAGTAAAATGTCTATCGAGGTTTAAGTTCATTAGGAGCTATACATCTCACGTCTGTCCATTCGAAGTGCTTTTCAAACTCGATCACAGAACTCTTAGAGGGATAAAGTGGTGCTCTTTTCATCGAATTTGTGGTGTTCAAGCTCAAATCAAGTGGACTTTTCGAGCACACAAAGAAAAGTGCGAACAACAGTCGAGCAAATAGTAATGAAAAAAAGTAACTCCGAAATATCCTACGCCCTTTTCTCGAAGTTTTTGACATGAATTTTCCGCCATTCTTTCAACTGATTACCACAATCTTATTCCAATATCAATCCACACAAACTCGCCTTTCCTACCTCTGAAGTTATCTCCTTTTTTCCCATTTCCCTCGCAGAAATACACAATTCCACGACCAAACTTCTCGGTAAAGACAATCTAAAAGTGAGGTGTCACTTTATCGCCACTTGACTGCTGGTGTTAACGAGTCACATGACATTTCTTAGGTTCCTTTTATAATCAATATCTTGTGATAAGCGCAATTACTTAATTAGTTAATCCAACAGAATCAATATTTTCTTTTGTTGTTCGTTTAAGTACCACTTATGGTCGACGCGAAAATCGGCGAGAAAATTTTAATCCACTTTTCAATTCTTTCAACGCGTTTTCAATTTGTGATTTGCGACACCGTCAATTGAACCCTGAAAAAGGCAAGGACATAACAAAGCTGCTAACTTTAAAAAGTTTTGTGATACATCTAAAGAGATTGCTCGACGGGTGCAATATACAGACTTAAAAAGAGCGCTAGACTGATGGTCCCTTAGTTTTAACCTATGACTCAACTACATCCCTCTACGGTAAGACAAGAGCATGTCCTTTTGTCTCAATAAGGTACTTGGTTTGGATCCACACTGGAAATATTGCAGCTGACGTCTTACAGCAGTGACAGTAATCAGTTCACTTATAAAAGCTGGAGCTAGACTATGAATGATTTTAAATCTCCGTGACTAAATTTTAACTATTCTATATTTTACAGACAGCCATTGCAATGACTTAAACAAAAGTGTGATCTGACAGAATCTGCTCTCCTGAAATATCAGGCAAACATGATCGTTTTGAACTCTCTTTACTTTATGTATGGGTCATTTGAGAGTTCCTAATCAGGAAGAAGTTGTACTCGAGGCGGCCTGAAATAATAGCATGTTTAGGAGTTTCTTTGCGTTCTTTAGTCAGGTATATCCTTATTTTTCCAATGATGATAAAACCGTGTAAAACTAGTCCTAATATAGATTAGTTTTAGTTAAAACAGACTCCAAGACTTTGAACAGGAGAGTGTAGAACTATGTTACATTGGAAATTTTAACGTGTCTAATAATTGCTATAGCCAGCTCTGCTTTGTGCGAATCATAAGAAACTTAGTCATTGCCTAATTAAGGTGCTTAGAAGAATTTAATCCTTCAACTCCAGAAGTGATTAACTTGTTATTTCTCATTGCGATTCCAATACTTCATCTAGAAAAAAGGTCATGAGAACAGAGAAGCTTATCAATTATGGGGTGTTATCTTGATGTAAATCAAATTATTTTGTATGGTATTCAGAAGGAAAATGACTAATCGGATCTTTAGAGTTAAAGGTTAATCGAGATTCTAAGGGCCCGAATTATAAGACAGTATGAAGAATGATATGTAGATCTGGGGAGGAAAAAGGTTTTAACTAAGCTTCATCCTCTCATTTTTGATGACATGTTCGTCGTAAGAATATAACGTGTGCTTGAAGTGTGCGGTGCGAAATTGTCACCAAGATTGAATGCCTAGTCTTTTTGAAGAGAAAATACGCGTAAATTTCCGATCGTCAGCGCAAATTTAAGTAAGCTTTTTCACTCATTGAACGAGTATGCTTCACTTGTATTAGGAAAATTCAAGTTTAATAGCGTCAAAGCTAAATAGGTGTAAGCAAATTCGCCGATCCTCAAAACTTTCCGTGATATAGCCCCCCCAGCGCATGAGTATACATATGTATGTCTGCTTTTCCTCTACTGTATTAAGTTTTTCCTCTCGTTTTCCATACATGTCTACTGGTTACACGAAAAAGAAGCTTACAAACTGAAATGCTATTAACTGAAATGAAAAATTAAGTGGGCAAAACACCTTTTCTTCAGACAAAGAGATGAACCTATCCACAGTTCGTGCTACAAAATAGACAGAATCCGTAATCTAAGTTAGATTTTCTCGGCCAATCCAGGATCTACTTTCAATTTATTCACGATTCCGCTTCATTTTTTTTTCAAAAATCCGAATTTCATTAGTTTGTTTAAGGCTTAGTCTTTTTATAGTTCGTTGACTTAAGTTTGTCACCTTAAATCCAGCGCATTCTTACAATACAAGGCCACCACAGAGATCCCGGTAACCTTTCGGTAGGCGAAAGTAGTCGGTCAGGAGAGTCTGCAATTTAACTGGGGTTACAACTCCCTCAGATACTATGTTAAGTCTTGAAGCTAATGATCTCAAGGAAAGAAGGTAAACCAAATTAAATTTCGTGGAAAATGAACATTAGATGGTCTCCCGACAGATTTTAATGCGATTTGATAATGATAAAAACTTACCGGTTAACTCTCGTGTGCCCTTACGCCGTGGTTTAAGCAGATAATGTTCAGAATTATAATTGATTTTGCACAAATCTATTCTGTTTTAGTTGTTACTATTGAAATAAGACCCAAAGATTTAAATTTAGGCCAATCGAATTTTTGTTATTCCGGACACTCCACGCTGACTCCGCAAATTATTGAACATTCTTGCAAGAAAATACGGCCAGCATGGAAATTAAGAAAAAGTAACAGCTGTTCCCACTAGGATGAAAAAAAAAACTAAAAAAAACAAATCGTTTGGCTTTTCGTCTCCGAAGTGTTCTGCGCAGTTTAACAAATAAAACATGCCCTTTACATCATGTTGTAGTTTTTTTTCTCCATCATTTAAATGAAATTCAGTAGAAATCAATCAGTGCAGACAGTAACCTTTGATCATATTGGGTTGAATACGCCAAAATTCAGTTAACGCGGATTTTTTTCCATCAGATTCTTAACTGGCGTTACCATGGTCCCTCTGACCGCACTAGGCATTTCATTAACAACATCTGTTCTGTGATGAAACATACACAGATAATTTTGCTTTGACGACAGGATTAAGAAACGAAAAAAGAGCGGCCGGTATTTTCGTGACCGCAACACTCTGCTGATCCATGAATATATCACTTTCGCCTCAAGGGTTTGAAGAACTGGGTGTCAATATTTTGAGTGGTTTCCTGCGACAACCAAAGTTTCCTTCAACCTGACAGAGAGCACTAAATATTGCTTCGCTAGAATAAAGTTAGGCTGATCGGATTTTAATACCATAAAAGGAACAAGGTGTTTTCGGATATCAAAGATTTTATACAGATAACAATTACAAACTTGAAAAAATTAACAAGGATTTTTTAAGGTGTCGTAACTCTTATGGTGTGTGAAATCGATCTTGAAAACGCTATTTAAACAGCGATGAGCGACGAGTGAAGGGTTATGTAAGATGTACAGCTGAACTTCTGAACTACACTCTAAATTCCATCTGGTGAAATCTGACTTTAAATGCGTGAATCATGTCTTAAATCGCGAGCAAGTGCGGCTATCGAGCGGTATTCTTTGTGCAAAAGATTAAAGATTATGACGCCAGAATTAGGTACAGTGCGATGTGATAAGCCCATCAAGGGAAAATTCATCCGAAAATCTCTCTATTCGAGTGCCGCATAAATTAAGTTTAGTCCATCCATCATTCCTGCATTTAAAATCGATCTGTCTCTCCCTGTTTATCAGAGAGATGAGTACTTTAAACGATAAACCTCTTGAAGGATTTTCATTAACGACTGCCATGGATTAAGAAAGTTTCAGACTGCGAAAAAGGCATCTAGAGCTGAATAGTAAATTTACAAATGTGCCGGAAAATGCATAGCAGACGGCGATTCAATGTAATGTTAGGTGATCAATTGTAAATAACTTGTTTGCTCCTACCGCCTCACCGCCTGCATGGTGGGCGCTTCCCGAGTTGTAAAACTCGAACAGATCGCTGTTTTATCATTACTTTTGTTGGCAATAGAAGACATTTTTATGTCACGCTGATCAAAAAGGTCTAAACAACGAAACCTCTTAAGAATCTACTTGAAACTTAAGATGCTCGCGTTCTTTAAACAAGAGAGCCAATTTGTTTGCATTTTGTTTTTTACGAATGACCTCCGGTTTCTATCAATTATTCTTTCCAAAAATGAATCCCACGCTTCTTTCGTTGTAAGAAACGACTGAGCGAACTAGTCGATTGCTTTTTGTAGGTAGTTGATAAGAGACGGCGAGATCAGGAATTCCAGTCTTATTACAACCCCAAGAGCTGATTATGGCGACATTAACTTAATTATAAGGCTACCGTTTGGGTTGAATTAGTGAATGCAAAATTTTTCTGTCTGATAAAATAAGCATTCGAAGGCCAACATCGACATAGAAAGGAATCAAACCGGAACAAAAGAGTCCATGAAGAAATTTTAAGTAAATTGTTAAAAGAACGTAACATCTTCATAACATTAACCGCTGAAACACACCACAAACCGAAAAATCTTTACTGTTCCAAACTTATCATACGAGAAATCGTTCCCACTGGAACAGGCATCAGTCACGACTTACCTTATTTTTTTTCCAAGACGCAGACGTGAATAGTTGGAAGAAAAGATGTCTTTCAGTCGTGCATCAAGAAGTATTAATATCACATGTTACCCATCCCAAACCGGTATAATGACTCAGGTTTTCTCTTTCTCACGGCGTGAACCTGGAAATGTAAATTAGCGACTTTTCCACTGATCAAATGGCGCTTTGTGAAAGTAATTAAAAGCGAACAAAGGCCGTTCGTCACACGCACAGATCCACAGCAAACAGTTTACACTGGTATGCATAAACACAACGGGCGATAACGTCAAAGCGCTTCGGACTCTAAAGTATTTCACACACAAAAAGAGCTTAACACGTGTTTTTTGTCAATTACTTTTCATTACTGAGAGTGGTAATGGAGATCTCTCATTTTGAAAGGTTCAATTACCTCGTTAAAAGTCCACGGATTTTAAAGAGGGCGCAGCTTTCCCTGGGTCAAAACACCGCCTGTGACGTCACAAGTTTATTCACCAGACTGCACTGACCTATGATAATCAAGTTTTGAAGCAAGGAACTCTCGAAGAGTGCCATCAATGTTTTTAGGAACAAAACCTCTCTTTTCTTCGTCGTTTCTCTGGTAAGCACTCGAATCATCTGAGTATGCTTTGTTACGACTCTCTGATGATAGAGAAATGGATTTAAATGCGATATCAATTTCACCTCGTTTTATTTAGTCTGTATACAGCACTAAAGATGCCTCAAATACTTGACAAATGTGTATTAAGATACAATAAAAAGTACTTTGACACCCAGGGGGTCTAAACTGAAATGCCGCATGTCTTAGCCTGCGAGTGTGTCCTCGTTGTTGGCACCGCAGGACGCGCGTTTCTTCACCCGTGGCGCGCGGGAAGAATTGAAACGAGGTACAAGTAGTCGAGGAGAGGTTTACCGTGGGCCTGGCTGTCTAATCTCATCATCTACTCGCTCGTTAATCAACTAATGTTGTTAAAAGACTGTAACATTTGCTCATATTCTCATCAGCCAACAGCGTCTGTTCCACGAAGCAAAAACGATTTTCTGTGAGCGGAGCTCTAGGAAGAGTAAGCTTTTGTTTGTATAATTCTTTAAATAATTTTTCCGCACGCGTAATAAAACGTTTACTAATACCTCAGCGTCAGAAATTTTACTGCATGGGATACCTACTTATACTTAAATATTCTTCGAAATGTGTCTCATTTTGTAACAACAGCAAAACCCTCTACTATATTGAATTAATATTTAAGCGGAGATTTGTTATCGTGCGGGACATAAAGTCTGGGAATTGGGGAATATTACCAAAGAAATATTACCTGATGTTCCCCAAATTTTGTAGAGGCGTATCAGGTCATGTGACCCTCCAGATCAATCGTGCTGATTGCTTCTTTATTCATACGGTTAAAGAGAAAGTTGTTCGGAATGCTTTGATTTGATATGATTCAATAGACCTCTATACCTTACAAAGTTCCTACCGCAATATCTACATTTGTGCACAGTGTCCTCCGTCTCGTGCAGTTTCACATGTTTTTTCATATTACTTGGATCACTGAACGACTTGTCGCACACTTTACATCGTAAAGGTTTGAAACCCGTATGCGTGCGCATGTGGATTTTCAGTACATACTTCCTGCAGTACACTTTCCCACAGTAATCGCACGTGAAACCTTGGTTTCGCTGGGGAGCCTGAGGCAGACTGCTGGTGTGGTGCGCAAAGAACGGGAACATGCGCGGATAATTGGAGTAGCCGTACCTCTGATCGACGAAGAACGCGGGTTCATAAAAGCGCATAGCGGCATTGTCAATTGACTCGCGTGGAACTGGAGACGAATAGCATTGGCATTGCATTCGATGCCGAAGATGTGCATTGTCAGCCGGCTGCATTCTCTGATGAATAAAGCAGGATCCTAGTCGAGTGTAGTTATTAAGTATTGAACCTTGTCTACTCTTTTGGTAGTCTGGAATGTGACTTGTTTGATCCAGCCGTTCCCTGAGTGACACCGTGTTGTTTTCCTCGTTCTCTTCAGTTGTCATCGCCTCATCGGTCACAGCAGTGATTTTTCTTTGCTTTGAAATGTCTTGTGTGTCGTTGTGGCTTTTACAAGTGCATTCGCGATCTGCTTCACGTGGCAAATATACGTCACTGCCGCGCCGCAGACCTTCGTTTCCGTTTTCGGCCGACACCCTGTTGTTATTTGAAAGTTCTTTTGGTCCTATTGAGCTCCTGATATTAGCATAACTTTTAAAAGCTGACACATTTAATGGAAAATGTCCATCCCGCAAGCTATATTGACCAAATGTACTCTTAATTGGGTTCCTCAAAATTTCACTTTCTGGAAATGTTGGCAGAATGGTGTTGCGTTTATGCAGATCAAGGATATAATTCTCTTGGAAACAGTTTATGAAATCACCGTTCTCTTCTTTGACATGGAACCTGTCTTCATCTCTTTTTTGGGAGTATTCGTTATCTTCAGTCCTCACTAACAGGCGCCGACGTTTGGCGGAGGATAATTTCCTTTCCATGTTTTCACGATAAAGATGCCTGCGAAGGTAATGTTCGTTTCCTTGAAACTTCTTTCGGAATTCTTGTTTATGGTACTCAGCCAACGACTGAGGTTCGTTCAAAAACTTTCGTAGGGGAGGTGGTGTAAAACTCGAAATTAGACTCTCTAACGTGGGATTGGACAAGACACGACCATTGCCGAAAGCGACCGACGTTTCCTTGGTTATCATCGGAGCACTTTCGTCTGCCGAACATCTCTGCCTATTGTCCGCAGTCGAATGAGTTCGATCATAAGTTTGTTCCTTCGCCTTCGATTTTTTCTCTTGATTCTGCGAGCTTTGTTCTATCTTCAGATATTGCTTGGATGAGTTTCTACCTACAAAATCGTCATCATCATCATTATAATCATCATCATCATCATCATCATCATCATCATTATCATCAACCCCTTCTTCTTCCTCTTCTTCTTCCTCTTCCTCTAAATCTTCATCATCCTCGCTGTCCACACTCTTCGCACTGTTTTCTCTCCGCAAGGTGATGTTGGAACCCAGTTCCTTGCATTTATAAGTTTGATGAACGGAAAGAGCTTGAGAACATTGAAAGATCTTTTTACAGTTATCGCAGGTCCATCGACTATCTGCAAGATTGATTGACTCAAGTCAGAAAATATGTTTACTTTAAAATACACTTTATTCTCAATGACTTGAACCTAAAAACAAAATTATGAGTTATCAAGGGCAAGGAAATAAACGAATAATTGAAAGGATACAAAGACCTCTTTGGTCATGAAAAGCACTGCTCGAGTTCACATTGTTAAGAAAATAGAGCTTGCATAGCTGCCTGCGGCTGTGGTTCAGCTTTTTATGCATGCAACTATGTGCGATGTACGTTGCAGAGGTGTACATTCCGTATGACGTTTATACTCGTTCGCCAGGAAAACATTTAAGTTGACGTGAAACATTCAGCCTCCGGGAGACCAGACTGACATCTCAGGTCTATAAGAAACTGAATTACATTTGAATGAGCCCTACAACTTGGGGAGGGAGGTAAATTGAACTTCTTAGCTCAATCTTCCGTTATCTTATGTACATTCGATTAACATGTGGCTCCTTCTTCCGGCGTCAAAGCCCTTCCCGGCATGCCCTGTCAACCCGATTAAACCACCTGATAACCCCCGCTTTACGGATTCAAACTAACTAATACTTCCCTTGCTCTCTTCAAGGAAACACTTTCTTGAGAGAGATCTTTTCCTCGCATAAGAGAGGAGGGAAAGTAATGGGAATATGAAAGAAGCAAAGTTATTAACCTTCAAATTCCTCCTTTTCAACGTTCTGCAGTCCACGTTCTTCCTCTAAAGAAGGAGCCAGCCACACTCGAAACTCTTCGCCAGACAATATGTCTCTTGTTGTTCGGAAATAGATTTTATCATCGTCTGGAGATCGTATCACTTGCAGGTTCTGCTCCTTTTCGGTACGTGCCGGATTCACAGCAGGCATCCACGAAAAGTCGCCGAGCGACAAATCGTGCTCGATGACGTTTCCTCTGTCTGCGATCTTTTCAAAGGCAAAGAAAAGACAGCGTTATTTTTCCGACAAGGAATTAATTGCATCGTAAGCTATGATTTGTGTGGTCAAGCGTGAATTTTTCTTTCCCGAAACATTGCTATGGTTTTTAACAACGAAACATAGATAATGCCTATTCTTTTCTTAAAAGTATTAAAATACTCAAGAATATATATTTTTTTTATGCTCGAGGCTCAATGATCCAATCGGGCTGTCGTAAATTAATTTATCCGGAAATTCATGTAGAGTATTCTTGTCCAATTTACTAGAAATATTAGCTCAAGTGACTTTTTTATTTTATTGACTAATACTGCGTGCTATTCCAGTGAATACAATTTTGCATTTGTTATTCGCATCCTAAACTAACGAATGAAAACTTGCGTGCCGCTAAAACCTTCAGCTTCTAACATAAGATATCTTTTGTAAACTTAAAAGTCAACCATAAAAATGAAGGTGTTTTTCAGTGCTGAAGAAAGTGAAGACAGCGAGCGGCACGCCTTTGACTTGGAAACGTAAGAGAGATGAATAGTCATTAAACCTTAAAGAAGGAGACTAACACATGCAAGAAATTCATAGCAATGATGGAAGCAATAGGTAACTAAGAATGGCTCCGGCTGAGGAAAAGATTGAATATGGTTTTTCGAGCTATCCGGAAAAATAGTGTACTTTTTTTAACATTTCATGAGTGAATTACCTTCGCTTTAAGAGGACATATCTAAAACGATGTTCCGTAAGTTTTTCGAAAAAAAGAAGTTCATTCACAAACAAGTTTGAAATCTATAACAGTGGCTTTCCTTTTACAAGATCTCAGTTGAGTTCTTAAGATATCATGGTATCGAAAAGTTGGTTACATGGTAAGATTCATCTCACTTTTCTCCTGTTGCATTGGAGAACAACTCACGTAAGCCACTGTTCGGATGTGAGCCCAAGCTCATCTCTCAAAAGACTCTCGAGACAATGGCGTAAATTGAACCAAATTACACCCATGCAAGGTAACATATAATATCTGTTTAGGCAGACTTCACAAAACGCTACACTTTTAACTTGAACTAATATTTGACGCATTGTTTTGGCTAAATAAGTTGCTGTGTTTGCCTTTATCAGACTCTACCTATAAAAACGTTTCAAATGAATTTGGTTGTTCCACATAGGTCTACTAATTTCAGCTTTTATAAAATAGCATTTCCACCTCGTCTTTTGGTCACATTCGAGTGAGGGGAACTCAGACGAGTTGAAAAGACAGAGCTTTTTCGCTGATCAACGCTTAAACAAAATGATTTTTCAGTTTTTACCTTCCATACAGTCTTAACTATCCGGGAAAATCTTCAATTTACACGGCTGTTACATAACTTGGAAGTTTTAGAACTTCTTCATTTTAATTGCGCAAAACAATAGCTCGGTAGAGTTAAGTGGGGGCTAAGTGAGGTCTAGAAATGACAGCCACTCAAAAATACTCATTGTTTTAAGTGAGAAATGCTTTTATACATTGTTGTAAAAATCCGCCCTCTAATGCACTGTCAAGAAACGCCAAATGTTTGATTCCCAAACACTACGCCGTGAGATGTCATCAAAAATATTCCTTTGACACTCGAGGCAAATGTCTTTTTTGACCCAAGACTCTGTTATGAGGGACGAGGTCACAAGTTCATAGGGAAAAGCTGCAGATCGCGGAGCAAAGTAAATCCCTCTCATTGCTGACACGATTGGAAGCAAATGTGTTTTTGTTTGTCTTTGTTCTTGAGATAAATTTCTACTGTTTTTCATTTCACAAAACATTACTTTCTATAATATTTCTTAATTTATTTATGGTTAAGAAATCTTTTCTTTTTACTCGTTAATTGACTGGTTATGGTTTGAAAGAAACATTTCAAATGGAGACTTCACTGAAGGTATACGAAGTGCTGAGTCGTTCAGTAACCTTAGCTGTGACACCTGTATTGGCTAAAAGCGCCAAAAACAACAAACCATTTAAATTGCTTAGAATATCAGGAAAAGTTTCCAACTAGTTGGGCCCTTTTCCTGTGCATTTATTTCTGGATTATATTTCTGCGCAAGAAACATACTCTTCCTACAAAAAAGTGTTTTGAAACAAGAAAAAAAAACCACACTTTCTCGGTTAAGGCTATTAACACCGGCCTATGAGAACTACCCATATGTTTTGAAGTTGTATTGAAGTATGTACACTGTTTGAATTTGTCACAAAGCTCATTAACACACACAGAGCCATCGTGCATTTGATTTAAAACCACACTTTACTTAATGTAAAATTTCGATATTATGCGTTAATTTTGTTAGTTGATTAGTGATTCAAAAAGATGAAGTCTTCAATGAAAAAATCGCTTATTCTCCAAGGTGTGCGGCGCTTCTGAAAAAATGGACCAGTCTTTAAATAGTTAAGCATTGATCGGGATGTGAGCTAATTGCAACATTGATATGGTGAATGATAACACGTACAGCTTAAGTGTTTGTAAATATTTGTGAGGAAGGCGCACTTCTCGGGTAATATTTGCTTTCGGAGCTGTTTGCTTTGTAAAAGTTCTCCGAGGAAATAAATTACAAAAAAACTGAATTTGTTAGAAATGCGCAAAGGTCAAAAATGCACCCTTTCCCTAAACGGTTGTTTTGTGACATTTTGATTTCATCAAGCCCTCTAGGGGTTAAATCAAACCCCGGGATGGTTTTTTTGTTCGTAAATTATTTCGGCGGAATTTTCGTTAGTAAACTATCTTTCATCTAAAATCTATTTCCGATGTTAAGTGAAGCAGCTTGGATAGACATTTTTAAATCAAACATTTCACTGAGACGGCTGCTATTAAATTTCAGTCCTATGAAAAGCAGAAGTAGTTTGATTTCAAGGAGCTGAAACTATGAAGTTTAAATCAATTTCTTATCTAGCCCATACCCCTCTCTGACTGCAGATCATTTTCCAACCCTTTTATAAGGATTATTCCACACAAGCAAGTAAATCCATTAACAATTACCTTTCCATCAAAAACGCACTTTTTTGTTGTAGCTTTTCCATTCAATGGAAAGATGAGAATCCCATCGAAATCTGCCTTCAGTGATCTCTACTTCAGTATCGTGAAACCCAACCGGTGATTACAGATAGCTGCCTTTCTCAATAAAACTCAAAAATTAATTTTTTTCCCATCCTTGTTACACAAACGATTTTTGCAGGACTTACTAAAGAAAAGCGATTAAATTGATTTAAATTAATGTGATCAAGAAAAATGTAGAAGTAGACCTTCTCTCCCAGGGCCTTACCCTTTTTATGTTGTTAGATTTATAAATTTTTTTTGCCAACATTTAATTATTTTGCTAATGATTTCTCTCAGGTAATTACACTGCTCAGTGTTCTCTTCAGTGGAAGTAGGAAAGATGTGTCTAACATCGTGAAATGAGCTGATATGAATGACTTCGCGGCCGACAGAAAAACCTTCGTTGTAAGTTGAGCAGTTAAGTTTAAAATATAATGTATAACAGCTTTGAAACTTAAATGAATCATAGAAATTAATTTGAAAACGAAAACGTTTTCTGTTAATAAAATACCACGGAATTAATTGATCAGAATAACTCAATTCTGGGTCTAAGTTTGAGCTCTATTCAACTAGAGGTCAAAATAGCCTAAGTATTTTTGGAGGCTAAAACCTTACCGAGAAAGTTCCATAAAATTCATTGTTAAATCATTTTAGAATACCCTTGGAATAATCAGGAACCACAAAATAGTCATTTTAAAATTCGTAAATTCGGCGCCTTTGTTCTACTTTTGAAGCTTTTCGAGTGATTTTGATATCTGCAATTCGACTGGCATGATCGATTTTTCTTTCCAAACTTTAATTCATATTCTAGTTCAACTCGAAACCTGTTTAGAACTAAAAGTTAGCGCAAGTTGTATAAAGTAAGAAAGACTAAATTGGACACTCATTCACGGAAGAAAAAAATCAATGTATGCAATTCGATTTTATTCACTTTCTTCCTGATCGTTAACTTTAATGGTGATTTGTAAAGGCTTTGCATTGCACTCTCAGCTTTTGACACTAATTCCACTATTTTAGCATATTTTTGGTGGTTTCAATTTAAGATGAAGATCTTTCGTGTTACACTAAATGAAACCTTTCAAGAGAACCGACTTTTCTTAGATGGAAAATTACCCCGACATTTGTGTCTTTATCTTGTCTAAGACTTTTCTTTATCCTGTTCTGCTATTATAATAATACTATATAATATACCAATAACTCTGAATAAAAACCCATAGATTAACCCATATCAGAGGGAATTTTCTTTACATGTACTCCTTGTGTCGACTTTTTAATCGATTGAAGTGAAAAAGAGAATTAAAACTATTGAAATCACAGGCGCCAATCCACGGAAAAGCGCGGAGGCCGCTTCCTAATATCTTTTAGTCTGCCTTACACCGTAAAAATACTATAAAACTGCAGCGAAATATTACAACAAATATTGATTACGGAGTGCTTACCTTGAATTTTGCTGAAGGAGTATGTAAAAACTGAACATTCTCAACCAATTCGGCTACGTTTCCTTGCAAAGGACCGATCAAAGTGTTTTTGGCGAGGAAGCTTGTAGTCCATACGCGAGTTTCGTTGCTCGCTGATAATATTTTTGACATTACGCGCTGAGTTTTTCTTTCTTTTCACAGATTCGAAACGTAAAGTTTATCAAAATGAGGAAATTCTAAATCTTTTAAGGGGAAAATTAGAAAAACCAAAATTACTTAACGAAGGAAAAAAGCGGAAAAAAGTTACTTTTATACACACAGAAAGAAAGTCCTACTTGAGATCGCGCGAAAGATGAAAAGGAAATGAAAACTTAACCTATAGCAGACTTGTTTTTATTTTTGCATTTGAGTGTGGGAACGCGAGCCTGCTACGCATCTGTTCATCTAATAGGTTTTAGTCTTTTAATACATTGTTTAGATAAAATACCTTTGTTCTTTATTTCTTTAAAAGTATCTATTATAACCTCTAGAAGCTTTTAAATACATGTCGTGAAAAGACATCTGTGAAAGAGTCGAATGAGTCAAGCGCAACTCAAGGCCCTAATTAAACCAAATTGGGCCAGGTTGAAACCGTCTGTAAAACTTTATTATGATTCTTGAGATATTGTTCTTCGTGTATTCAAAGACCATATCGGGCTATTTCCTAGCTAAAGATATTAGAAAACACCTAAAATCCATATGTTTTAATTCCCAAGTATTTAGAATGTTTCTCAGATTTCTGTTTTCCCAGGGATTTTTTACACTTACCCCCTCGGGTAATTAAATTCTTCTTTCAAATACGTTTTGATCTGTCGTAAGTTAAAAAAAAACATTCTCTCCTCAACTTAAAAATTTTTCTCAACATTTTAAATCGAGTTCCTAACTGAAATCAACCAAATCTCGTTTGAGTTTGGAAAGTTAATGTGATTGTAAATTTATGAGACTAACGGCTGGGTACAGCGCTCGACGTTACTTTCACGCAATCGAAATTCAATCGGAAGGGATTCGAGAAGTCCGTCATTTTCGAAGGCACTGATAAGCGCACTCGAAAGTAGCGATAGAGCCGTTTCGGCAAAACTTTGTTTAATCCAAAGACCGTGACGACTGATACATGTAAGAAAAAACTAATATGAGATCAACATTTTTAACTGACAAAGAAAAGAAGACGAAACAGCTGAACTACGTAAAGATAAAGAAAACCGGAATTTACTAAGCCATAACTAAATTAGCTACCTATGGAAAAGTCGTTCTCTTCAATTTTCGCAGTAGGGGAGATTTTCATATTTATTCAATAGGTGAGCGTAAGATTTTGAATACTTTTTTTTTATCGCGACTTTCAGCGTGGGATTCAATGCAATTAATTTAATTTTTTTGACCCCATAATCAAAACATATCCATATGCCAAGTGTGTTTCCGCTCGAAAACTTATGAATGTGATGTAAAATTAATGTTTGTTGGTGGAAAATCCTGTTCCCGCAATTTGTGAATGACATTAAAATTTATGTTTTTAAAAGATATGGAAATATGATGATAATGTATGAAAAGCTATCGCAAATGAAGGAGATGTTCGCGAAAGTAAATTGAATCGTGACCGAAACTAGCGAGTTTTTAATTTAATTTTTGAAAAACAGAATAATTTTAAACTGATTTTCAAAAGACTAATTTTTAAAATAGGATACGATTTATGGGAAACCCTAGACATCGCTATCGGTGAGATCCCTGATAAGAGACCTTAACAACTGAACCTGGGCAATATATAACTACAAAATAAAAGGAGAGAGAGAGAGAGAACTGACCTTAGCTATTTATCTAGTGACGGAGATGGAATCAAAGAGATTTTTATACGTAAATTGTAGTATCAGTTCAGCTTTCCTTTTTTTGATTGATGTATCAGTTACTTGAAGAGTGAAGATTTATTAAATGCGGATGCACGGTGTACTGGCCATGTGAGTCGCCCCCAAGGCGGTCAAAAATTGTATATCTACCGTAAAGAACACATTAAAGATGAACTTCGCAAAGATACGGAAACTGTCGAAAACCTAAGTCTGAGATCGGAAACTACTGGTCGGAAGCGAGCGACCTTCACATTAGAAGTGGTATATTTAGAGTCGGAAGCCGTAAATGGGTGTTCACAATCATACGGACCGTCGGCAGTCATCATACGAAATTATTCAATCAGCAGGGCAGTTTCTTTTGTTCCGTAGGAAATAAAATTGTTTAATGGATTTTTGGATTTATTTTAATACATTACTGGTACATTTAACATGATTCACTCATCTATTTATTTGCTTTGTCATTCACCGCCTTTTAAATGCATTCATCTATTTCATAAATTCTAAAATGTATTTACTCCCAGTATTTAATAAGTTTTAATGTTAAGTTTTTTGGGAGACCTTGGTGATAGCAAAGACTACATAAGATAATCAACTACCTGACTTGTGTTTGATGTTTTCCTTAAATTAAACGTAACTTCAAACTAATTTCTGACCAATTTATGATACCTCATGATGTTTTGAAACCTAATTTGAAAAAACTCCTCTCAGTTTTTGAACCATTTGAATTGTATGGACCCCAAAACTTCTTCAAATTCACCTAAATACGTTATGTGAAGAAAAAAAATCCAACTTTGAAATAATGCATTTGCGTCCATAATGCCGGATAAAAATAGGAGTGACAGCGACTTTAAAACGTCTTCATTTTTGTTTCTTCCATGGTGTGAGACATGATGTAAACACCACAAAATTAAAAAACTGCCATAAATCATGACTGAAACAATCTCACGGTTACTCTAACGTCAATAAATTCAAGATTTGAATACCTCCACTAGACCCAGAATCTGACAGCCGAATCTTACATGTTAAGAAGAAACCGCTCGAGATTGGTAACATTTGTCCGAAATCATAAGACTCAATTGGAGACGCTGGATTAGACTAGTCAAGAAACATTTCTTTCACAACTACATGACAATTTTTCTCTCGTTACTTATCAAACATAACGTATTTTATTGCAATATCTAATGAATCCGTGAATCCATACAGGATTTTCTCTTGTTTTCAAACTCATGGCAATGTTGGAAACTTCTCGAAGTAAAATTTGGCCAAGCCTCCTATGGAATGGAATATTTGCGCCTTTCTTTTACAATCTGAATTCTAGTTGACTCCTCCCGCCCTTTCTCACAAAGGATCTAGGTACGATCTGATGAGTGGTTTTCATTTTGTTTACAATACGGTATAAAGAGAACAAAAACTTTCATTTATTTTACCGAACCTTTCAATTATAAAACAATCAACCGTAAAATCCCTCAGGCGAGACCGGTTATTGAACGTTTAATCAATCGATCACGTACTTCGTGAAACGCATAGGAAAAATAGCACCCGTGAATAGATTTGTAAAGGCGGCAGGTGATATCGAGTTATGACGCAATTTTTAGCCCGTTATTCGTGAGTACCACCCCCGTGAGCGAAGTCTTTCAACCGTCACCTGGTCATAACCGAACCTCACTGACAGATTCAATCATTCACAAGTAAGCAGAAAATTGTAAGCAGAAGGTCAAAGAGTCGTGCATTATGAGCCGCTAAGAATAGTAGGACTAAATTCATTTTGGATCTCGGTGCCCTAGGGAACAATTTAAATACCGGTCGTAGCGCTTGGCACCAAAGAGCCGGAAGATCGGAAGATTGTTGAAGGCGCGCAATTTGCGACAGAGGTCTTCTAGGCATTCATGACTATTCTGAACAGAATGGCGCGCCGAAGGAGTGCTCTACCAGTGATTTCCGAGCCAATGTTGGATCCAAAACGCCTAGAGGCCTTGCTGGAAGATGAATCGAGACGAAGGAACTCTACCAACTCAATGCATTTGGTAGGTAACTCTTACTTTAAGCCACGTTCGGCATTTGCAAAGCCGAAATAGAATCATGCAGCTGTCACGACCGTCATTTTGTCGTCTAAAAACAACAAGCATCAGTTTTCATACGCCATTCAATTACATTCCTTGATTTTTTGAAACACTTCCGATGTTTATTATCTTTTGCGCAATAATTTTGCTGACATAAGACTCCAAGGATTAAGTTCTTAATCATTTTCCATGAAGCCTTGGCTTTCGAACTTTGCTTAGTAGGTGCTAATTAACTTTAATTGTTTTTATTCATATCATGTCTATGGCTTTGATTAAGAGCGTGATTCTTTTCAAGCTTATCACAGAAATTTGTGCATTCAAGAATACCTGTATCCTCTGTTAAAAAGCGTCTTGTAGGATGATTCAAACAAAGTTAGGTGAAGCTAAATCTGTGATAAGTATGGCCATACGTTTCGCATGAGGAGCAGTGAATGGTTTGAAATAGAGAACTCACGAAAAACACTTATCCAAAACTGAACTAATCTTGCGTAAGAAGGCCTCGGAATTTGTTCGTTTAGGTGTTAAATGATTATAAAAGATCAACTGAACATACCAAACTAGAAAGAGTTAAAGGTTGTCTAAAAATAGTCCAAACGTAGCGGGAGGTGTAGTTTCGCTTAATGCCATACTCTGTGTGTAGTTCCGTTTCATTTTTCCTGTCTTGTGTCATTTCAAGTGCTTTGCAAATATGGAAACAGAAGAATGCTGTATAAGTCTTATGTATTTATCCACACAACCGGATTTGCGTGCAGCCTTCCAACACAGCCGAACTGTTTCTACCAGCAATGGTGAAAGAGTCGAGGCAGCTTCGGTGTAAATTGATAATAATCCATTTGTCGCATAAACTGCACGAATATCAGTAACTTACGCGTCGCTCAGTGAGGTAAACCACCAAAAAGATTAACAATGCATCAATCTGGCCTTTGAGAGCAGTTTTAACGGGATAATTGTTCCACACTGTCTTCGTGACCATAGGCCTATTTAAATACAGTCAGTTCCAGAAAATTCGTTCCCTGCATGACAAGAAGGCGTGCTATACGTTTACAATGGCACTCCAAACCTTAACATGTTTCAACCCACTAGCTATAAGTTTTTGTATTAGTGACAACCTTTGTTTTGGTTGAAAAGGTCTAATACTTCATCCTTAAAACTTTACTAATATTTATGACTGAAGAAATACCATGCCGTAGCTCTAATATATTCCCTGAGTTGAGTTATTTAAGAGACAAACAAATTTTGGTATCTAATGGAAACCTGTGCGGGGGCAGATGTTTTTAAAACTGAGTAAATCTAGAATATTGGCTCGATTAAACCCTTTGTGTATGTTACTGATTGTTATGTAGATGTCAATTTTATAAATGATTATCAGCTGCACAACACTGATTGATTTTGCCTCAGGAATCTATATAATTTCTAATTGAATGCAGAGGACTCATTTACAAAAATTTAAAAACCGGCGAGCATGCATTTTTTGTGTTAATTGATAATCCTGCATATATCTAATAAAACGGCTTGTTGATCTCTCGACGAAAATGCACGAAACTAATAAGAAAACTTCAAGGCTAATGATTGTCTTCAGTTCGCAAAGGTCTGCGCTTGAATTCCGTTTCAATTTGAAGTGGAGCCCAACACTTATGGAAAACAGTATGTCAACAGGCAGTTCTGCGTCGGCGATCGTCGACGAAAATTAAGGCTGCTGATTTGATGTCAGGAACGAGCCGAAGGGCTTCGAGATTCTTCATTGCATTCCAAATCCTAAAGCATTTTAGATTGAAAAAAAAAACTTCCAAATTAAAAGCGCATGTTCTTGAATTCACCGAATTTAACGCCAATGTGTGTTGTTGTTTACAAAGTTGATAGAACATACAATGGTTAGCTTTGAATGGAAGTACTTAACGCACTCTTGATATACATTCTTACTTTCCGTAAACTGAAAAGATAATGATGTGAATAATACGCCAGCTTTGCACTCCACTGATCTCGCTCGTTTCCCTTTGTGGTTTTTACAAAAGAATATATTGACCATTGTAATCAGTGAAAGCTTTTATATAAAACAATCGAATATCGGACCTTGCGTCATTATAGAAAGCGGGAAGTAGGCGGAGATCATGATAATTTAGGTACGAAACAAATCAAAATGTTTTGTGCGCGATCTTATTTAAAATGATTTCGCTGGATTGTAGAAAGTTTTGGTTATAGAAAACGGGAAGTAGGCGGAGATCATGATAATTTAGGCAAAATTCAGGAGGTCTGGGTTCCAGTCCTGGTTATTTCGTTGTGTTCTTTGAAAAGACGATTTACCGGTTACCCGCACAATGCTGTGAGCTTCGAGGAACAGATAATGTCCACGAGCATATTTTCGCGCCAAATCGAGGCTACTGTTTATATAAACGGCTTAAGAAAGGAAAAAAAAAAGATCTTACAGTACAACCGTAATCAAGATGGTTTCAAAATGGTTGACGAAGGATGAATAATCGTTATTTTAATTGGATGAATTCTATTGTACACATTAGGCTGACGAAAGAATAACAATGCAGATTTGTTTTTCACAAAGCCTGACTTAATCAAATCTCACAGGTGACCAATGAGCAACTTCTCTTTACAATATCACTAAATTATCTTGCAACCAGGTAATAAGAAGTAGCAAAATTATCAGCAAGAGTGTTTTTCTTGATGTAACCTGAGCATATGTTAATCTTGATGAAATTGTAAGGCGACTTGGAGCTGAGAATTCGGAGTCAGATTTTGAAATCAAACTTAGTACTAAACAGGCGTTTTCCTAAAAACAATTTGGGCTTTCCCTAAATGTAATGCATCTGATCTCCATAAATTTGTATCTAGTACCAGAAGAAATGTAAACACTCCCGATAGCAAGACATTGAATTAATCAATTTACCAGAAAGTTCGTAAAAGTACGGAACACTCGAGAGATCGAATAAAGTCAAATTTTAAAGCAAGCTCTGACGAGTAAAGAATTTTGACTGATTGCCCACTTTATTGAATACAGCTTCACCAGTAGGTTAACTATTGAAGTTGGAAAATAATGATTAATATAAACGCAACCGGCAAAACACAGGTGTTTCTTATAAGAATTAATTTGCATACGTGCCAAAGTTTGAAAACATGACAATAAAATGCGCTTTTAAGAAGCCAGTTAAAAGACAGGACATCTAATTCAGGCGACTGTTCCTTTTCGAAGAGAAAACGAATTCGTGTAAACAATCAAGTTGGTTTTTAAGCATGGGCGAATCCTAGCCGAAAGACATCACAAATGTTCCTCTCAGCTCATAGATGAAACACCACAGAAACAGAAAGAAAAAAAGATCGTTCAGCCTACCAGCTGTTTCTTTCTTCAAGGTTTGTTAGCCGGAATAATTTTATTTTAGCTTATTTCACAGTTCAAGTTTTGTTTTGAACGTCACATCATATCTCTCTTGAAAGCCTAAAGGTTCGTATCTTTGATGATTAAGCAGCATCTTTGCAATTTTTAATTTCCCCCTCAATTGAAGTTTAGCGCCAACAAATCGGCACGATTATAAATTACATGATTAAACAAAGTTCTCTGCTGAGTTTTAAACGGACTAATGCCATCACATCCATCGCAAAGGGAAAGGGGAAGTCGGCTAACAAAATGTAAGGCTTCTCGCATTTTTATCAGAATTCACCGCGCTAAAATAACTATTGAGTGTGGAAAAGCTGTCTCTGGTTAATTTGGTATTTCTTACGCGATATCAAATTTATAGCACGCACTTCAAAGATTATACGTATAGTTTTAGGCTTGAAATTGAGCTGGTAGTGCTTATTGCAGAATTATAAATTAAAACCTTTCAAATCTTTTTGTTTCTTCAAATTTTATGCAACTCATCATTATGCTATTTTAGCTATATAAGCGTTTGTTATTATCTATATTTTCGCCAATTATCCGTTTAAATTTTATATCATGTAGATCATATATCTTTTAACAGTAGCCACAAACGTACGTCGTAAAAATAAATCTATCAAATTGTTATGTTGTTATTGATTACGTGACCACAAAGGATTTTGTTTGCTTTTGGATTGCTTAATTACTTACGTAGCCATTGAATATTTGAATTAGATGTCGTGTTAATGTAAATGCAAACGCCGGAAGCTTCATGTATTTTTACATTACACTTAAACTCACTTCAACGCTTGCGAAAAACCCCTCTAACTCCTGTGACTTCATTTGAGGTCCTCCCGTAAGAGGACCTTTTCAGTGGCTTAACATTCTTGCGAAAACAATTTTTTTGGCTCTGAAAATGAGAATCTGTAACGTGTAAAGGATTACAGTTGCTCATGATATTCTTTTCCGGATACTGTTTCTCGCCTCTAAAAATTCGACAATCCAACTACTTTAACATTCGTTTCACTCTTTTTTCCAGAAAACCTTTTTTTTTTATTTGATCATTATGAAGAGCTGTTCTGTAAGTTTGATACAACCATTCAACATCATTTATCTTAATCATACATAATTTCTGCTCGTTGATTTTACAGCTCAGTATTAGATTGTACTAACGTTACATGCACAGAACCTTAGGGCCTCGTGCTAGTTTATTGCAGGTTACTCTTGGAATCATCACGTTTCCCGGTCAGTTCGCCAGTTCTCACTCAAATTCCTTGGCGGAAATAGGTAAGGCGAGAGTGAAATGTCTCTCCCAAGAACACAACATAATGACTCTGCCAGGTCTCGTATCCAGACTTCTTGCGCCGGAATCCAATCCTCTCGTCTCCCCCTGCTAAACGACAAGGGGCTTTAACGTTAAAGCAAGCAATTATTCTCAAAACTTAAAATCGATTATTGATTTGCATTTCTGCACCAACAGAGTCAACAACTCAATGACTCATTGGATGCGAACTCAAACGAAGAGGCAGGCTTGGAGAACTCAGGTCAAACAGAGAGGTACAAGTTATGCGTCGTTGGCGACAGTGAGTGCGGAAAGACGAGTCTGCTGAATGCACTCGTTAGAAGTGATTTTGAAGTAAGTACTGCTATGCAGTGATGCATTTTTTCTGAATTTCAACATCTTTCTCTTCAGTTTCTGCTCTTTTCTTCACAGGGGGCCGGAATTAATGAATAAATAGAAAATCTTATCGTACAACCAACTGATCGATCGAGCCATTCACTGACTGACTGTTTGACTGACTGAGAGGAGGGCAGGTTGGCAGACTGACCAAGTGGCTGGCTAGTAAACTAAGTCACTGACTTACCAAGTGATTACTTGGTGAGATGACTGGCAGACCGACTTTCTGACTGACTGACGGGCAGACTGACCGAATGGCTAAGTGATTGATCGATAGGCTGACTGTCTAAATAGCTGGCTGACTGACTGACAAACTGACCGACTCTCTGGCTAACTGAGTGGCTAGCTGACAGTTTGACTGACTATCTGACCCACTTTGTAGCAGACTTGCTTGCCAATCAATTGATTTATCGATGGCTACTGTTAAGTTATCCTCCTTTTTCTATTTCGCCGGGTTATGACCATTATGTACTGTACTCGACGGTTCTTTCCTAAAATTTTGTGTTTTGCCTCCAAAACAGGCAGAAGAATCTTGCATTTTTGGCGAATGCGTGGCAGATATCACCACAGAAGAAAATAGAATAGAAGTTATGCTTTGGGAAATATCAGGTACGAATTCCCAGGGTTCTCCTTATCAGGCGGTAACCGGTAAAATTTACGGCTTGTAAGAGCACCTATTACCGCCTGCAAACGCTCAGAACCCTTTTAAAATACGCATTTATGGTGAACTAATCTGGTAAGAAAGTGTAATAACAAGCCAACAGTGTGCACTATTATAGATCTACGTGTGTTTTAGTTAGCTAATACTGACTGTTACGCTTCGAATTTCGAAGCAAGAGTGATTTTTCGCGGGCTTTCTGCTAAATCTCATGACATTTGTCAGTTCTCTGCAAATGTGGTGTCGTTTAGTTTTTCAGTTTCCACGATGAAACGGCAGTAAATAATGCTGTCGTTTCTGTCCAGTGACAAGAGGTCACGAAGAGTGGCTGGTAAGCTTTACAAGAAATTAAGGGGTAAACAAAACAAAGGTTACGTAATAGCGATGGAAAGGCGGTCAATTGCCAGAAATAACCGCCTTGACAGCTCTACAATTGCCGGCTGTATAACGAACACGTGGGGACAAAGCTAGTCTTCATCGTGAAATTCAACTTGAAATGTATTTAAGACAACAGTTTGAAAGAAGCCTTGAAAATAAAATCTCTCGACAGCGTAAAAGTTCTGAATTTGAGACGATTAGAACACGAATTCAGCTATTTGATGCGATTCGATTTCATAGCGATGCGATTCGTAGCTGGCACCGCTGATTTTCCAGTGATATGCCATGTAAGTGACGCCAGAGATATCACCCGAAATCGAAGGGAGACCATTTTACGTTATAAGCAGTTTGGAAAGAGCATAGTCAAATATAATGCTTTTAAACAAAATTTTACTTTGTTTTGTTCAACCTCTGAACCTAAAGGTGTATCGTTCACATTATGAATTTTTCGGTGGAGAATTTTTGATAGGTGCGATGTACTGTACGCTCTAGGGAATGACAAAGTTGAGAATGACCAGCCGCCTGAAGCTGCAAATGTGCTTAACTGGTTTGAAAAGGTCCCTTACCTGTTGCGCTTAAAACTAGGGAGATCCCTGAATTCCACGAAGAAATACGAAACTGATGAAACTTGGATGAACTACCAGCCTTCTCTCTTACCAATAGACCTTTGCCAAGTGAGGGCAAAAAGGCAAAAAGGCAAAAAGAAATTCATACCAAAGGGAAAAAAGTACTACTTCTCAGTACTGTTTTTTCTTTTTTTTATTTCTTTTTTGCTTGTGTCCTATAGTTAACCTCCATCCACAGGGACCTGAAACGGGTGAATACAAAAGAAGATAATGGGAAATTATTTTCTCTTGGTCTATAAACTTTTTTGTTTTAATACAGTTTTGTTAATCTTACAAATGATATCTTTTCATCTCCCATCAGGCCTAGAGGACTTTGATAGCATCAGAAAGGAGATGTACCGTGACTCTGACGTCATTCTCATTTGTTTTGATATTGGTCATCCCCCATCATTAACAAGCGTCGTTGAGAAGGTACTCAGTGTCTTCTTTAATCATAAACTTGCAATGGCTAAACACGTTATTTTATTTCCTAGTATCTATTTTTTTTTACCTTAACAGTGGGTCCCCGAGATCAGTAACGCATGCCCAGGAGTTCCCTACTTGTTGATTGGCTGTAAGAATGACTTGCGCACTGACGCGGCTCTGCAGCTCTATCTGACCGTGCCGGGTCAGGTGTCTGAGGAGAGTGACAGCATCAACAGACTCCAGGTAAGTCACATTGTCAGCGGAGAACTCTCCACTTGCGGCTGCGGTCCACATCTCACAAACGTTGTGCCCAGGTTCCCTGATATCTCTTGATGACAACGTTTATGATTTGAACGAGTCAGACCTCACACTTCTTTTGTCTTTAAAATGACTCTTGAGATGACTATCGTTTTTCTCTTCAGGCTATTTCAGTGGCACAGTCTATCGCCGCACGTGATTATGTAGAATGCTGCGCCAAAACACGCTGGAATGTTCAAGAGGTGTTCAAGAGTGCCGCCGTTGCTATTCTGCACAAGGACGACGAGAAAGCTCCGGAAGATACAAACAAATCTCAATCGGTACTTCGAAGATTTTCGTGGTTCCATCGGAGATCTTTGGGATCTGATGTAAATGACTGCAACACCGTTGCTCGTTCAGTTTCAGGTAGTCGGCGACGTTCCCTGTTTTCAACAAGCTAACAGGGAAGTTCTCGACTTAAAGATCCTGATGTATTGTTCGAGTCATTTGGGAAGGTCATCTTTTTTCTTTGCGTCATCCAGGAAAAGTGGATAACGTCGCTTCAAATTTTGAAGTCGTTGATTTCTCAAATGAATCATTTTGAAACCCAGAGTTCTATGATTTCCAGACGGTAGGATATCAATAGTTAAAGAAGACTCCGTTTATTTATAGTTAAAGTCAGAATCGCAACAATATTCATGTAAACAGTAAGGTCAATATGGCTTGATCCAGCTTGCAGTATTTCTCTTCTTCGACTTTCGTATGTGATTTTGGTATAAGATAGTGGAAGTGTTTTGAGCGCCACTGTGATTTGCCAACCGAAGATGTCTGCATCAAAAGTTTCGTCATTTTTGAACTGATTTGACTTTATGATATTGCCGCTTACAGAATGAGTCTATTTCGATTAAAAGGAGTTAATTCGCTTTGAAATTAAATTATAAATTATATTAAGTTATTAGTTTCAAACCATGTACGATTTTTGATAGGTGTATGGCTTAACTGAAAAGAGGACTTTCGTTTATTGACAGTTTAGTAAATTGGAATTAGGTCGTTTATCTAAAAGAATACTCTGTTGTACCAATATTTCATTTGAGGGAAAAGGTTTCAGTGTATTTTGGATATTTATAGCATACATTTTTCGATACTTTTAGAACAGCAAAATCATTGAAGTAATATATATATATAGTTAAAAGTTTAAAAAACAGATTTTATTGTATTTGTTGCCCTTAGTATTTGAGACGAACACTTGTAGGGACGTGAGGATGGTTGGTAATGAATGGGATCGGAAAAAATGAAACGACGTGACAAGGCAGTAACTGCCTAGGATCGAGAGTCGTCTATTTGGGTTCGAGGAGGGTCGGGAGGGGCTGTTAGGAGCAAAAAAAAACAAGGGACCAGTTTGAGACAAGGGTGAAGATCCAGCAATGTATACAGCGTTAAGGAGTTTATGGTGGCGGCCATTTTGGGTGGTCGTCGAAAACGCTTCTAAATGACAAACAAGCACCGTCCCCGCTTCTATTATTGAGACCATCCCAATAGCAATTTTATGATCCTATAACCTTGTTTCACAGTGGGTGGACTCTCCAGCCAGATGTTCGGCCGATGGGTTCGAGTTACAATTTACTAGAAATACCAACATTCCCTTGAAACTGGGATATCGTTGTATTGCGTGATATATTATCAAAAGATTTCATTTACTGGAAACAGAATATCCATCTTCTTGTCACAACAGACGCAGAATTATTTTGCAAGCTACCTCATGTTTGCTTTTAAACTCTTTCCGATGCCTGTCAGACTGATTGAGAAAGATTTGATTAGTCGCATGAAATGTTCATTACCATATTCATGACGCGGATGACCCAAAATTTCTTGAACAAGTCAAACCATATTTAATCAAAACATAAATAGTTGAGTCACCTGGGATTCCGTAATCTCGCATTTCTACGTCAACAGTTCCAAGAAGGGGCAACATTCCTATGTAACTCAGTTATCACGAAGCGTGATCGACTTCTTACTCAAGCTCGCAGTATCCATAAATTACCATTTCACCAAACTTAAAAAATTTAAGTCGACTCATGATACAGTTATTCTTTGGACGAGTAAGAGTTACAAGTTACGTCGACGACCTTCTCAGTGGTCTGAGAACTCAATCGTCCTCGTTCACTGGAGATTTTTTCGACTGACTAAAGAGTATTTAAGTAGAATGCCCAAGTTAGAGTCGGCTGAGCTTCTTCACTTAAGGAAAACAAACGTTGGCCACAAAGTGAATATTCCTCACGCCTCGGTGTTTCGATTCACCAACATCTTCATCGATGAAAGCAAGCGTTTCATGCCTCGAACATATCTACAAACTTATCGCGGTGTCCCTTTGTGGTTTTCAGTTATTGTAGCTGTGTTGAGTTTCGGAGGAGCTGCAACGCTCACTGGAGCGATCATTTTCCTGATCTTTGGTTTTCCTTTCATCGCCATCTATTGGCAAAACGAACAGGTAAACAGGAAGTCACTTCCACTTGTCAAGAAACAATCAGTGAAGAATGATCTACAAACGCTCGACGCTTTGTACGAGGTGACTTTCAAAGAACTCCAAACGATCGCGCTTTCTAGTTACGATCTGAAAATTGGCTTCACTAAGACAACCGCTGGAAAATTTAGCTTCCAGGTTTTTCACCCTGTAGCTTTTCAGATTATGGATAAAGCAAAACGTATCTCTCGCATCATGCTCGGCGTCTTCCTGTTTCTCGCTTTGTACAATACTTTCTTCATTTTTCTGTATTCTTTGATCTTGAAAGAGTGAATTAATCACGTACTTTACACCTCTTGTCTTTAAAGGGAACGACGCAGTCGACGTTTATAACATAGTGCAAGAACCTCGATGAATATAGCTACGGAAAAACGAAGATAAACTCCGTTTTGAGAAACTAAACTGAAGATAGCATTAACATACTCTTGTCAAACGTTTTCCACATAGAACAAACCTATATCATACCCTCTCAGAAAATTCTCAGAAAAATGCTCATCTAAAGGCAAAATACTGTCAAATGCTGTACAAGATAAACTCAACAAGCGCTTTAGTAAGAAGAATCCCATCCATAAAATGAATTTGTATTTGGTTTTCGCTTCCTTGCGATTACGAAAGATACTGACATAAAATGAAAACAGGCCAAATACAGAATCAATTTGATCTTAGCCTTTGTACTTGATAGTCACCTAAGATTTGTGCTGTTACTCAATTTGCTACCAGTCTTTAGGAATGTATTTTAAGGCTGCGTCATGTGAGTACAATAAAAGTTCCTTTTAAGAGCCGAATGGAGCGCTGTGTTCGAATAAAAACAATTAAAATCGGTTGATAGTCTGGCACAATTTCCGAGAAAACCGAAATGGCTCAAATTTTACCAAATGCGTAAACAAACGTATGTAAATAGCCAGTGTCACTTGCGAGAACTGAGACCCGTCTCGAGGATAATACAATAAATCACATCCAGAATTCAAATTTGCTAACCTCCCAGGCTGGATTTGACGGGAAGATGACAAATTAATTTATCTCTTCGGTTAAAAAAGAGACTTGAGGTTTCCCGCTACCATGTCCGGGGAGGAGGGGAACTGGGTTCATTTACATTTTCAATTTCGCAGAAGGTATCTTATGTCATCACAGGTGCTTGTTGTCCTCGCACTGCAAAGAGCTTCGTGCTTAATTTTATACTCGCGGGAGGTTTTCGGACTAAATCAGTAAAGGTAGGAGTAAAATTGATATAATTCAGTAAACCCTGATCCAGTAGTAATTCAAGATATCTCTCCTCAAAACAAATTATGATCCTGTAAATAACCTCGCTAAGTTTATGAAGAAGTGTACCGTATGATACTGATATGAAACTGACTGCGGATCTGGTGACAAGGGATTGAACCTAGAGCTTATTATCTTGCAAAATTTCAACCTATTTGAATTTTTGTTTCAAATTAACAGAAAATATGTAAATAATATAGTATAGAAATGAATTATTTTTGTCTGACTAATTTAGTTCATTGCATTCTTAGGTTGTCGTTGCTTGGAGGTAAACTAATATGTCTGACAGAGATCGCTTGATCGCTAACCCAGGGAGAACCGAAATCGAACGGGTACGCTCCAAACACATTGAAATTAAAGATGTTGGTACCACCGTCAAAATCAGAGATGAAATTCACGCCCGTACAAATCATTACATCAAACAGAGCAAACCTTACTTCCCAAAAGATAAGTTGCTTACCTACATCGATTGTCCGTACTTTTTAAGAGTCGCGCGATGGCTGTGCTTTGCCAGCCTCTTTGGAGCCCTTGTTGCAGGCGGTGGATCAAAGGCTATTCCTGTGTTTTTTCTCGTTGCCTGCCTGCTGTTCTTCTTGTTTTACTGCCAACACGAATGGGTGAATCAGAAGACCTTGCCTGTTGTCCATAAACAGCCCTTCATCCCTGGTCAGAAAACACTCAACTCATTCTACGAGGTGACCATCACTGAACTTGATGGAATTGCTCTCCAGAATTACCAAGCTGGTATTGGTTTTGTTGAACTTTCTCAGGGAAAGATTGAATTTCAGGCATTCAACAATACCGCGAAGAAACACATGTCCGACGCCAAATGTCAGTCTCGATTGATGCTTCTCCTTTTCTTGGCGGCTTCTGTCTACAACTGCTACTTTGTGGCAGCCTATTGACTAACCGGGTCAACGTTAGACGGATAATATCTTATGAAGATGATAGTAAAAGTGTAGTTATCATGGAGCTCAGATGCGATTCCTGAATTGTAGGTACAAATAGGCACAGCGGAAATATAGCAAAGGATTCCCACTGTGTTAAGCTGAAAAGCTTCAATTATCTGGGAACCGGCACAACCTGAGAAAAGGCTCGTGAGTTTTCAGAACTGAATTTGTCAGTAAAATCCGAAGACAATTTAGACAAGACATATTTAAGCTCTTGTTTGTGAGAATTTAGTGAACTGGTTAAATTTTAACTCTTGAAATCATCCAATATGAAAATTGTGTGACAACACTCACCCAAGTGCTGACCTCTTAGAGTAACAACAAATTATGTGATAAGCAATAATAAGCAGGGCTGGTTTGCATGGATATATATCTGGAAAGAGTGGTTCTAAAACTTACGAAATTATTGAGCCTCAAAGTGTTTCTCGAGTTAGTGGTGGAGGAGGGAGGGGGAGGTAGGGAGCTGCCTCAGTTTGAGTATATGTCGAGGGGAATGCAGAGCTTACTAGGTTAGCTATCTTCGAGTCGGCCGCATGTTGGATTATTAAATACAACCTTTCTTTCTGAGAAAATATCAAATAGCTGGTATCCATCTACCTTTCCACTGTTCTCATACCATGCATTTTTTCGGAATCCAATTCCAACCAAAAAAATGTAGGCCACAGGTTTCCATGACAGTTTGAATAATCCTTCAGATTGGTTGGTTAGAGTTACAATTTTCCCAGAAAGACCGAAATAGCTAATCATTGTTTTGTTTCACGCTAAATTGTGATTCTTCGAAAGTCTTCTCAGAATTTGTCATCATTTTTTCACATTCTTCAGCTTTATAAGCAGTAAAACACCAAAGGCATAGCTCGCTAGACGAGGAACGATCAATTGTCCTCGCTGCCGAGACAGAAAAGAACTAAATCGGCTTCTGTTTGCGGATAGAATCGTTACACGACCGTGACTAGGCTCAGGAACGTTTCTTATCGGTGCGACAATGTCTGCGTCATTCGCGGCTGAACTTCTTCGCTACAGGCAAACCAGAATAGAAAGCGTTGGCCGTAAAGTAAATATTCCTCACGCTTCTGTGCATCGTTTCACGAATATCTTCATCACAGAGAGCAGGCGCTTCATGCCTAAAGCAGACCTACCTATTTACCGCGGTGTACCTTTGTGGTTTTCAATTATTGTTGCTGTGTTCAGTTTTGGTGGCGCTGGTTCGCTCCCTTACGCCGTAATTTTCCTGATCTTTGGTTTTCCATTTATTGCTTTCTACTTGCAACACGAAATGGTCAACAGAAGGTCTCTTCCACTCGTCAAGAAACAGCCGTTGAAGAATGATCTGCAGACGCTCAACGTTTTGTACGAGGTGACTGTCGCTGAACTCGAAATGATCGCTCTTTCCAGTTACGATATGGAAATTGGCTTCCTTAAGACAAATTCTGGAAGAGTCTACTTCCAAGTTTTTCACCCTGCAGCTTTTCATATCATGGATAAGGCTAAACGTACCTCTCGCATCATGCTTGGCGTCTTCCTGCTTCTCGGGGTGTACAACACTATCTTCACTTTTCTGTATTCTTTTAAAATCATGAAAGATTGAATCAACCACGAAGAGTGTACTGTTTTCTCTGAAGAAAGCTATTCGGTCGAGGACATGAACTTACGGCGAGCACTCTGATGGATGTAACTATATAATAATCAACAACCATCAGTTTGGTTTTTTAGCAAACTGATCCAAAGATAGGAACATTTGTTTTGCTGGTTTCTGTAGACTCGTATTATTGACCTTATGTCTTCTGTGAGAACCGTAGACGAAACTGACCTGTTTATTCCACAACAGGTACGCTTTAAGATCTTGCAGCTTAAAGAGGAAATATTACCATAGAGTATTGAAGTTAAACTCAACGAGTGCCGTCGAACAAATCATGCTCTAAAATTGAATTTAATCTTTAGGTCGCATTTACAACATGAAGCTTCCTCGGCCTTCTTCATGATATCAGTGATAAATATATACGTGTTGCCTGTGTAACTCGTTGTTCAGCATTGACTGAAACAGTGTTAGTGGAAGAGCATTTTTTTGACTTAGTTATTTGAGAAATTATCCTCACCCATATAAAGTTATGTTAAGTTTTCCTTTACTTGTGATAATAAATCATACTAATATAAAGTTGGCAGTAAGGCGAGCGAAGATCGGGCTCTTTCATCTGTCGCATATTATATGCGTCTCTGCTTCATTTGTTGCCATTTGTCCGCCAAATCGGAGGATTTTTTTGGGATATGGCAAGTAAGCATACTAAGGGTTGTTTTCTACAGCCAAATAGAACGTGCTTTGAATTTAAACAACTACTGTCAAATGTCAGTTTGACGAAGTTTCCGAGAAATCGAGTTATATGTCTAAATGTGAAAAAAAGCTATTACTATTTGAGAGACTGGGAACCTTTTGCATGTTTAGGGACAAAACAAAACAAAATTCAAAGTTTGCAGCCTCTTGGCAGTTTTTACAGACTGGATTTGACAAACTGATGATATAATCAGTTGCGATTATTATTTGCAATAGGCCTATGAAGTGTCCTGTTACCATGGAGAGGGGACGGCCACAGGGAGAAGACATTGTCAAAGAGAATTGTAACCAGAGAAAGATGTTTTGTTTTTTCGTCTCGTCACGAGCGTGGGACAAAGAAAAAAATGCTAAGTACCCATGAGGAATCGAATCTCAGACCTTCGGATTCCGCGCTCCGATGCATTGTAATTGTAACTGTTAAAATCATCAATTACTTCTTGGTTGTGATCTTGAATACAAGGAAGATTATTTTCTATATTTTTCACGAACACTGAGTGAAAATTTCAAGCCTAGAAACCGATCGAATCTTATATTTCTTCATTCACTAAAAACAAAGTAATTTTCAACAAAACAAATTAATAATGGATGATTGGTTGTCTACAAACCATAAGTCGCTGAATGTTTTTTCTGCACCGCTGATCGTAATCAACGCTATCACCCGTTTCTCATTTGGCAGCTGTAATCGGACATCAATCGTCGTAAAATTCAGGCTTTTTTTGTAATTACGCACCTTACTAAGATGAAATAACATGAGGAGCTTTGGCACCGAAAAAAAAATTCGCAGCGTGCATTTTACAGACGCGCTATCATTTCTGTCATCGATGTAGAGAACTACATCAAGGCTGGCAGTTGGTAGGTGTTTATGCGGTTACTTAAACCTGTTGATTATAAGTTAAAGATTCACCTAATAATTAATACTTCATCTAAGCGCGAAAACACAATAAATCTTGGATCGGAATCACTTGGCGCGATTTCATCATGGAGGCCGAAGTCTTCGATCGATCGGCTGAGCTTTCTAGAGTTACGGCATCCAAATACGACCCCAAAAATCGCTGGTAAGTGCTGACGAAAAGTTAATGTGGAATCAAGCCGAATGCTTTTGCAAAGAAAGAAATGTTTCGTCTATTCCCCGATGACTGCAATACCTTCTGTCCCGCCAGCGAGTCTTCAGCGCGCCAACAAAGGCTGTTCGTTCAACACCAGGTAACCAAACAACATGTATGTTGTATGTTCATTTGGTTTTTGTGCCGGACTAATTAGACAGCGAGAATTTCCAGCAGATGGATTCGTGAGGTCTCAAAATATAATCCTGTTGTTTATGCGGCGTTTAGTCAAATCGCTCTCGACCGTACACTTTAGCTGGGAAATGTCTTTAGTCGAATAATCATGGGGAATTACAAAGATGTCAGTCAAGAATAGCCGAGCTTGACAACAACATTCGGGAACTAGTATGTTAGAATGATTTTATAAGTTAACGGTGGATGCCTCAACTTTCAGTCGAAAGAAAAGGTCAAGACTACGAGCGGTCTCCTGATATTAATAAGTGTTAAATTCAATTTTTCGTGCCCTCTTGGGTAGCTTATACCCGAGGGTTAATTTTCAAAATCTTCTATAATCCTCTTGGGAAGTGTATACCTGAGGGTTACTTTTAATCTCTTCTATACCCTCTAGGGTAGTGTATACCTAAAGGTTATTTTTAATATATTCTACACCCTCTTGTGTAGTGTATACCTGAGGATTATTATTAATCTCTTCTATACCCTCTTAGGTAATGCATACCTGAGGGTTATTTTTTATTTCTTCTATACCCCCTTGGGTAGTGTATACCTGAGGGTTATTTTCAATCTCTCCTGTACCCCCTTGGGTAGTGTACACCTAAGGGTTATTTTTAATCTCTATTATACCCTCCTGGGTATTGTACACTTGAGGGTTATTTTTAATCTCTTCTTTACCCTCCTCACACGGCAGTTGCGTCGGACGGTATTCATAAGTGTGAATTTTCTCACAATGACCTAAAATGCATTAACGTTGTTTTAGGGAAACGTGAAGACCAGCTTTACCCTGTTTTGGCAAGAGTCTTGTCTTCGGAAAAGCTAAAAATACCGTTCCAAAACCTTCGCATTTAAAAAGTCATTATAAGAGTAGTTGCACTTCGCCGCAGCTTGAAGACGGAACGGGAAGACTGTCAGTTGAAAGTGATGTGTATTCTCTGGATTATCTAATCAACACAGTTTCAGGACTGTTTAATTTCAAAACCATGACCTGTATAAAAAAGGATTTGTCGGAGTTAGCCTAAAATAGGCCTAGGTCTTTAATCATGGAAGTGAAATCAGCTTCACCTGCGCCGCTTTTCAGGCTATTTTTGAGTTTCTTCTTTTTACGTGTTTTAGCTTGTTCCTGTTATATGTTGTTGTAACATTTGGCTAGGACTATTTGTGGACCATGTGTCAACGATTAACTGTTGTCTTCTTTAAACATGGATTGTTTCCACAAAGATAATAAGCTTTGCGTGCTGCCCCTTAGGTTATTTCGAATTAGACCCGTTAAGTTGCTTTGAGGCATTTCTCTGGACTCTGCGAAGAAAGTAGAGTTGTATCTGGAAAATGATTAGAACTGTACTTATCGGAAGTTGCGGTTTTTTCCATTTCAGTCAGTGACGTTACTTTTCAGTAAAAATCTATTTAGCTTTGCCTCAAGAATACATTTAACACAATGTAAGATAATCTAATCACAAAGCAGGGGCGGATCCAGGAATTTTTGATTGGAAGGGGGGGGGGGGGTCCAAACTTTGGTACAGAAAGGACTATTGGACTCTTTTGAGGCAAATTACTTCTCCCCCACACCCCCCACATCCCCCCACACCCCCTCTCACCAGTCGCGGTTGCACGTTATAATTCCTTGGCCGCTTACCGTTTACCTGGATTCTACTCGTACAGGATGCACCCTTGGAACAGCCTCCTCTTGTGTTTGGTTACAAAGATTGTACAGATTTCGTCAACATCAATGTGAAGGTCATGATGTAAGTTCATGAGTGCAAGTCCTGACAACTGCTCATCAGACATCCTGTTTCTGAGATATGACTTAATTCGTCGCAAGCAAGAGAATGAACGTTCAGCTTCGGAAGAACTAACAGGAAGGGTACAACCAATAATAAGTAAAACTCATATGTTGGGGTACATATCCTCATCAGCATATTTTACACACTCGATAAGATTTCCCGGTAGCTGTAAGTGGGTGTGTACTGTTTTCAAAAGTATTGCCATTCCTTTAACTCAGAAAGAAGAGAGGACAGTGTAGGGAAATCCTGTTGCCAAAATTGCAGCTTTTCTGCTAAGTTACGAAGCCTGTAATGCTTCACTACAACAGATGGAACCAAGGAAAAAATTTCGGCCCCAGCCCTGTTGTCTTCGCTGAATCTTGAACTCATTTCTTCCAATAAATGATCTATAAAAGGTATGGCAACGTTAACACGATAATGCGATTCCGGGTTTACGCAAGGTGCATTGTTCCTATGTTCCTGCCTCCCAGTGATTCTTGGCACTGAGACTTGTCAGCCAGTCTAGATGCGTCTTCAAACCATTCATGACATTCCTCTTCTATGTTTGACTTCACCTTGGCAACTGCTTTAATAGTGTCGTCAATCATAGAATACGCTTGGAAGACATTTTGGTCTTTCTTCTGAAGCTTAGCTGCAATAGGTTTGAGTGTTCCAAGACTATTCTTTGTGATCAAAAAGGTGGAAATGAATCCGAATGTCTTCAAATTTGCCAGAAGACCTTGTGCCTTGGTTTTAGTCTCCCTGTCCCACGTGAACGATAACGAGGAATAAACATGAGGATGCGACTCACGATCAACTATCACTTCCAAGCTTATGCAAACGTACTCGTAAAGTTCGTAGAAAGTCTCGTAACATTCATGCCTTTCCACCCATCGGGTTTTGCATGAGCCTTTTAACTTCTCCTTTCTGGAAGTAGAACCACACTTCTCTAAAACTTGTTCTAGAAATCGCTGTCTTTTAGATGAAAAATGAAAGAAAAGGAAAGTTTAATTTAAGGTTTCAATCATGTTTCTGACTGAAGTTAACCTGCATGCGGCTGCAACACTGAGATTCAAAACGTGACTGTTACAATGAGTGTACAGTGCCATCGATGCCATTCTTCTTATTCTTCCTTGCACACCACATGCTTCTGAGGACATGGCACTGGCACCATCATAGGCCTGTCCTCTTGATGTTGTTCTCGGCCAAACTTGACAAAATAGCGTTTGCTGTGCTCTCACCAGTTGTTTTGTCAAGGTTGACATAGTCAAAAAATACTTCTTTGAACTTAGGTGAACAGTCGTTGTTAAGATCTAAAAACCTAAGGCAAACACTTAATATTTCTTCCCTCTGAATCGGCTGTGTAACTTTCGCCAGAATGTACCGTCCAGTGATGCGAATGACTTCCTCTTGTACAGTTTTTGAGGTGCTTGTAGCATTTCTCCTACCAGTAAGTAAGTGTTCTTGAAGATTTTTATCAGAGTTGCCCAATAGGATAAGAATGGCATGAAAGTTGCCTTTGTTGGATGCCGTGCCTATGCTGTCATCTCGATGGCCTCTAAGAGGGATGTTCTGTTTGCCACACAATATTATGGTATTTATGATTCTCTAAGTGCGTTCATGTCTTTTTCAAACATCTCTTGGTTTTGCGTGGAAATCCTGTATGGCGAGGTTTCTTTTGGTTTTTGAACACTTCGGATTATGGCAATGCCGGCTTCAAGTGCCAACTGGTGACATTGCATTTTCTGATGACGCTCAAGTAACCCATCCTTCCCAGTGGCTTTTTCTAGCATTTTGAATGGAGCTGTTACTAGAGACCTGTTCTGTGCTCGAGGGTCTGATGGATTACTATGCATCACACAATATTTGCGAAAACCTCCCATTCGTGAAGGACTATATACCACGTATACTTTTCCTACCACGAGGGCTGGAACACAAGCTTCATGGGACTGAAGAGTTCTTGGATCAACTTTGCCACTTACGATGTCTCCGACATCAAAGTAGGATACAACATGCTGATCAGTGGAAGAAAATTGGGAAACACCTAGAAACCAAGGAAGTCGTTTATTGATAAATCGTCAAATTGATTTTTAACAGACTGTGATATGAAAACTGAACACTGACAAGCTAAATGTTTACTGATAAATGTTTCTTAACTGAGTCAACGTACTGCACCCTTTAATCAAGCATTGTTGACAGTGATATAAAATTCGTTTGCCAAGGATAAAAATTCTGATCGATTTACTATATTAAGGTCTAAGTTGAGAACAGAAAGCTTGCAAAATGTTCTGCACATTTCTTTAAGTGACTCTAAAGATAGCTCGTTTCCCTTTACACCGAGGAAAAACAGATTTGACAGCGGCAGTACAGACTGCAAGAGCTCACCCTCGTGAATAACTACCCTGTTAAGCAAAAGGAAAGTTAAATTTTTATCAAGAGAAATCGGGGATATGTCCTTCAATGCAATGCAATCATTTAGGATCAAATACTCCAACTGGCGCATGCCTTGCAAGAAGGTCAGATTAGATACCAACTGGCCACTCAAATTTAAATAGTTAAGTCCATGAGACAAACATAGACTGTTACAAATAGCATGAGCTATAGATTTTGTCTCCTTGAATCGATGTTTCTTGACATCAATATAGGCTACTGAGAAATTTCTGAAACCCCGTGCGTGCTTTATGATTGTCTTTAACTGATCCTCGCTTAAATGAGTGATGCCCCATTCATCAAGGCAAACATTGGTCCACAACATGTTACTTTCAGAGACACGTCTCTATCTTCTGCATACAAGCCTTAGATTGTTTATTATCTCTTTAAGACTAAAATACTTGAATACGACATATAGAAGCTCATCTGGTAACGCTGCGATGAGAAAAATATTAGAATTGCCAAATTATGGGGCTAAAGCTTTGTCGAAAACTGAAAATTAATTTTAGATGATACGCTGTCTGTATGAAGAATGAAAGAAATGCTTTGAAAAGATAACGAAATAGACTGGCTTCGATAACAAAACTTAAATGAGATCGTCGTGTTCTTTGACCAGAAATCATAAGAAATTAAAAGTGGATTTCCACTGTCGCGTAATTTTACGCATGTCAATGGCGTGAATTTAACTGGCTTTTCGTGTGTGATGGCGGAAACTAAGAGTTGAACCACATTCAACTTTTTCCGCAGACGCAAGCCGTCAGTAGATTTTTTCTATTTATTTTCTATTTTGTTTCGTTTGAGACCGATGAAACGCACGCTTGACAAACTCTCGCAAAGCAAGCGCAAGCCCAAGCAGCACTACAAAATGCCGCGTTTGGATCTTAAGTCTGAAGTGAAAATGTAAAACATTTTCGATAAACCGCACAAGAATGATAAAATAATGATAAGTTAAACCGCTGACGTTCCTGCAATGAAGTGACTAAACTTAAAATAATTAAACGTCCGGCAGTCCGATATTTTTCCATATTTCTCTTCGAAATCCAAAAAATGTTTCTACGAAAATGTTCTACCTTTATTTACAATCCTCAAGCGTTTCCAGGCTGCCTAAAATTTCGAACTTGATGTTTTTCGCTAACCCTGTATTCAAAGTACGAAGCCATCTAAACGCTTGACACTTAAAAATTGTTCAATGACACGGCTGGACACGGTCCTCAACTACCTCCATATTTCTCCCTGAAATATACCAATTTTTCGTTGGAAAATATTCTATCTTCATTTACAATCCTCAAGCGCTTCTAGAAAGTGAAAAAATTCCAACGTTGTCCGTTTCGCTGACTTTGTATACAAAGTGAGGAGAGATCCAAGAGAGACACTAAGAAAATTTTCACCGGACACGGTCTTCGAATAATTAAACGTTCAGCAGTCTGATATTTTTCCATATTTCTCTTTGAAAAATACCAATTTCTATTGGAAATATTTAATCTTCATTTAGAATCTTCAAGCGCTTCTAGAAAGTGAAAAATTTGAACGTTGTCCTTTTCGCCGACTCTGTTCACAGAGTACGAAGAGATCCAAGCGTGACACTTAAAAAAATTTTCTTCGGATTCTTCCGGACAAAATTCAAAATACTGTAAGGAAACTGTAAAATGACGAGCGGCAAATGTATTTACCGTAAAACAGTTGACTATATGTCTAGGATGGCTGTTGAGAAAGACGATTTTAAAAGGTTTTCAGTGATCTGGGAATTTCGTGTTACAGGAAATTGGGTCGCGGCGCGCGTTGCATCAAGGTTGAAAATGGGCCTTTAATTTCCACCCTTTCATGCTTCACCTCTTTCTTGCTGTCACCATTTATTATAATTAACATTTGTCTACTTATTATAAATTAAACTTCCAACGCTTTGTACATTAATTGACTGATGACGAAACATGTCTTACAAACTCAAAAGTTTTGTCGTTTTCTTCACATTCCTAAAGATTGGTAGCAAATTGAGTAACAGCACAGATCTTGGTAAAATTTCCGCACAGCCCCATACTATTGTAAAACAAATCTGTTTTCCCAATGGCGATGTATTGTTTTTGTCATTGTTATCTCTATCTAAAAACTGAATGCATAATGAAATATGGGGCCGTGCGAAAATTTCACCAAAACAATCTGATCTGGCACAATTTCCGAGAAAACCGAATTGGGTGAAATTTCCGCACAGCCCCGTACTTCATTATGCATTCAGTTCTTGGAGAGAGATAACAATGACAAAAACAGGACATTGCCATTGGGAAAACAGATTTGTTTTACAGTAGTATGGGCCTGTGCGGAAATTTTACCCCGAATTGGCCCAATCTTTGCTAAATGCCCAAGCAAACATATGTAAATAGCCAGTATCACTCGCGAGAACTGAGACCCGTCTTGAGGATAATACCATAAATAACATCCAGAACTCAAAGTTGCTAACCTCTCAAGCTGGATTTTACGGGAAGATGACAAATTCATTAATCTCTTCCGGTTTACAAAGACTCTTGAAGTTTCCTATTACCATGTCCGGAGAGGAGGGGGACTGGGTTCATTCAGATTTTCAATTTCGCGGAAGGTATCTTATGTTGTTGTTCTCACACTGCAAAGAGCTTCGTGCTTAACTGTCTACTCGTGCGAGGTTTTCGGACTAAATCAGCAAAGGTAGGAGTAAAATTGATGTCATTTAGTAAACCCTGATACAGAAGTAGTTCAAGATGTCTCTACTCAAAACAAATTTTGATCCTGCAAATAACCTCGCGAAGTTTAAGAAGAAGTGAAGAAGCGGACGTTTCGAACGTTAGCCCTTTGTCAGAACGATAGACGAAGGGCTAACGCTCGAAACGTCAGCTTTTTTACCCGTTACGATGGCCAATTTACGTTTTCAACTCAGTTGTTAACACTAAATTACCTGCTATACTCTCCTACCGACGCAGCACCACAATTTCTATAGAAACTTACCCCCTTTATTCATTTATGAAGAAGTGTACCGTATGATACTAATATGAAACTGACTGCGGATCTGGTGACAAGGGATTAAACCTAGAGCTTATTATCTTGTAAAATTTCACCCGATTTGAACTGTTATGCCAAATTAACAGCAAAGAATCTCAAGCCTCAAGCCTCAAATCTCACAGCAAAGAGTATAGTATAGAAATGAATTATTTTGTCTATTGCATTCTTAGGTTGTCGTTGCTTGGAGGTCAACTAACATGTCTGACAGAGATCGCTCGGTTGCTAACCCACGGAGAACCGAAATTGAACGGGTACGCGCAGAACACATTGAAATTAAAGATGTTGGTACCGCCGTTAAAATCAGAGATGAAATCCACGCCCATACAAATCATTACATCAAGAAGAGCAAACCTTATTTCCCGAATGATAAGTTGCTTACCTACATCGATTGTCCGTACTTTTTAAGAGTCGCGCGATGTTTGTGCTTTGCCAGCCTCTTTGGAGCCCTTGTTGCAGCCGGTGCATCGAAGTTTATTCCTGTGTTTTTTCTTGTTGCCTGCCTGCTGTTCTTCTTGTTTTACTGCCAACACGAGTGGGTGAATCAGAAGACCTTGCCTGTTGTTCACAAACAGCCCTTCATCCCTGATCAGAAACTACTCAACACATTTTACGAGGTGACTATCACTGAACTTGATGGGATTGCTCTCCAGAATTACCAAGCTGGTATTGGTTTTGTTGAACTTTCTCAGGGAAAGATTAAATTTCAGGCATTCAACAATACCGCGAAGAAAGACATGTCCGACGCCAAATGTCAGTCTCGATTGATGCTTCTCCTTTTCTTGGCGGCTTTTGTCTACAACTGCTACTTTGTGGCAGCCTATTGACTAACCGGGTCAACGTTAGACGGATAATATCTTGATAATACTCAGATGGTAGTAAAAGTGTAGTTATCATGGAGCTCAGTCGCGATTCCTGATTTGTAGTAATCTGGAAACCGGCACAACCTGAGAAAACGCTCCTGAGTTTTCAGAACTGAATTTGTCAGCAAAATCCGAAAACAATTACATATATTCAACTCTTGTTTATGAGAATTGAGTGGATTAATTGGTTAAATTTGAATTCTTGAAATCATCCAACACGAACATGGCGTGACAACACACCCAAGTGCTGACCTCTTAAACTAACATCAAATTGTGATAGGCAATAATAAGCATGGCTGGTTTGCATGGATATATATCTAGAAAGAGTGGTTTTAAAGATTGCGAAATTATCTTTACTTTAATTATTTTATCTTTAACTATTAAAAATTGCGATAAAATATTTCTTAAAAACATTTTAAGATTGCTAAAAAACGACGGCGTTTAGACGTTGGCTAAACGTCATTATCAAGTCAAAAAAAAAATATTTGTAAGTTGCAGTCTATATATACCAAAACAACAATAGGTGACAAAAAAACTATACCGTTAGAAAAGAACAATAGTAATTAAACAGAAAGTTTGGCACGTATGGAATCCATCTGGATATTAAAATTAGGCTTGAGATTCTTGATGAACAGCAATTCAAAGACTAAACAATCAAATTTTCCCTAGCACTTTCTTAAAACTCTAAATTGGTTTTCTTTCAAGAGGTGGTTGCTACCGTGAGCTTACACGAAATGTCGACCAGTTGCCGAATATTTGTGCTCAGCAGTGCGTTGATGAAGGTTTCTGGTTGTGTATCCGACATAATCTGCATCGCACAGGTCACATGAGAAACCGTAAACAACGCCTTGCCGATTCACAATTGACGGCTTGATTTCTTTGGTTTAAGATCCTGCCCTAATTTCTTTGTCACAAAAACAGGCTGCAACGTAAGGAGAATCTTATGGCTAAGATCGCGCAACTGCTTCCGAACCGCATTAGTGGCCACTTGATCTTTGAATGGAAGACTAATTCTTTCTGTGTTAATATCATCGGTGTTTCTTTCCGCTGTGCCTGCCGAAGCATTTCTAAAGATAAAGTTATTGATAGCGGAATCAATAAGGCCCCAAGGGTAGTCAAGACGACTGAAAATTAATAATTTGACACATTCTGCGTAGACAATAGGTTATCAACGTGTGAAAATTTAGAGTTATTGTCAACTGAAGCAGCGCTCAGTAGGCGGATGTATTCGGGTTTGTCCATCACTACAACTTCAGAACCTTTAGCAGGCTCAGTGATAACAATGTCGTCCCGTTTCTTTAAGCGATTGAGAGCTTTGACAAGAGCCTTAACTGGATTAGGGCTTGCACGCTGAATGTAATTCAAAGCGATTGAACGTAGCGTTGAGCTAGCCAGTTCAACGCTTTGCTGAGCACAAATATTCAGTAATCGGTCAACATTTCGTGGAAGCTCACAGTAGCAACCACCTCTTGAGAGAAAACCAATTTAGAGTTCAAAGAAAGTGCCATGGAATATTTGATTGTTTAGTCTTTGAAATAATGTTGTTCATCAAGAATCTAAAGCCTCATCTAAATATCCAGGCGGACTCCGAACGCGCCAAACTTTTTGTTTAATTACTAATGTTCTTTTCTAACGGTATAGCTTTTTTTCACCCGTTGTTATTTGGGTATATATAGACTGCAACTAGCAAATATTTTTTTTGACTTGATAATGACGTTTAGCCAACATCGAAACGTCGTCGTTTTTTAGCAATATTAAAATGTTTTTAAGAAACATTTTATCGCAATTTTTTATTGTAAATGTTTTTCCTAAATTACTTCTTCGTATACGAAATTATCTCTCTAAGAAAATGTAAAATAGCTGGTATCCATCCTCCTTTCCACTGCTATGATACCTTGCGTTTTTTGGAATCCTGATTCCAACAAAATTTAATGTAAGCCCATAGGTTCCCATGACAGTTGGAGTAATCCTTGAGATTGGTTCACTCGAGTTCATTTTCCCAGAAAGACCGAAATAGCTAATCATTGTTTTGCTTCAGGCTAAATTGTGATTCTTCGAAAGTCTTCTCAGAATTTGTCATCGTTTGTTCACATTCTTCAGCTTTATAAAAGGTGAAACACTAAAGGCATAGCTCGCTAGACGAGGAACGATCAATTGTCCTCGCTGCCGAGACAGAAAAGAACTAAATCGGTTTCTGTTTGCGGATAGAATCGTTACACGACCGTGACTAGGCTCAGGAACGTTTCTTATCGGTGCGACAATGTCTGCGTCATTCGCGGCTGAACTTCTTCGCTACAGGCAAATCAGAATAGACAGTGTTGGCCGTAAAGTAAATATTCCTCACGCTTCTGTGCATCGTTTCACGAATATCTTCATCACAGAGAGCAGGCGCTTCATGCCTAAAGCAGACCTACCTATTTACCGCGGTGTACCTTTGTGGTTTTCAATTATTGTTGCTGTGTTAAGTTTTGGTGGCGCTGCTTCGCTCCCTGCCGCCATAATTTTCCTGATCTTTGGTTTTCCATTTATTGCTTTCTACTTGCAACACGAAATGGTCAACAGAAAATCTCTTCCACTCGTCAAGAAACAGCCGTTGAAGAATGATCTGCAGACGCTCAACGTCTTGTACGAGGTGACTGTCGCTGAACTCGAAATGATCGCTCTTTCCAGTTACGATATGGAAATTGGCTTCCTTAAAACAAATTCTGGAAGAGTCTACTTCCAAGTTTTTCACCCTGCAGCTTTTCATATCATGGATAAGGCCAAACGTGCCTCTCGCATCATGCTCGGCGTCTTCCTGTTTCTCGCGGTGTACAACACTATCTTCACTTTTCTGTATTCTTTTAAAATCATGAAAGATTGAATCAACCACGAAGAGTGCACTGTTGTCTCTGAAGATAGCTATGCGGTCGAGGACATGAACTTACGGTAAGCACTCTGATGGATGTAACTATATAATCATCAACAACTATCAGTTTGGTTTTTTAGCAAACTGATCCAAAGATAAGAACATTTGTTTTGCTGGTTTCAGTAGAATCGTATTATAGACCTTGTGTCTTCTGTGAGAACCGTAGACCAAACTGACCTGTTTATTCCACAACAGGTAACGCTTAAAGATCTTGCAGCTTAAAGAGGAAATATTACTCTAAACTATTAAAGTTAAACTCAACGAGTGCCGTCGAACAAATCATGTTCTGAAATTGAATTTAATGTTTATGTCGCGAGTACAACATGAAGCTTCCTCGGCCTTCTTTATGATATCAGTAATAAATATATACGTGTTGCCTGTATAATTCGTTGTTCGGCATTGACTGAAACAGTGTTAGTGGAAGAGCATTTTTTTTACTTAGTTATTTGAGACATTATCTTCATCAATATAAAGTTATGTTAAGTTTTCCTTTACTTGTGATAATAAATCATACAAACATAAAGTTGGCAGCAAGGCGAGCGAAGATTGAAAGCTCTTTCATCTGTCGCATATTATATGCGTCGCTGCTCCATTTGTTGTCATTTGTTCGCCAAATCGGAGGGTTTTTTCGGGATATGGCAAGTAAGCATACTCAGGGTTGTTTTCAGTTTGCAGCCTCATGGCAGTTTTTATAGACTGGATTTGTCAAACTGATGATATAATCAATTGCGATTATTAATTGCAATAGGCCTATGAAGTTTCCTGTTACCATGGAGAGGAGACTGCCATAGTGAGGAGACATTGTCAAAGAGAATTGTAACCAGAGAAAGATGTTTTTTTTTCGTCTTGTCACGAGCGTGGGACAAAGAAAAAAATGCTGAGTACCCATGAGGAATCGAATCTCAGACCTTCGGAGTGCGCGCTCTGATGCATTGTAATTGTAACTGTTAAAATCATCAATTACTTCTTGGATAAAAGGAAGATTATTTTCTATATTTTTCACGAACACTGAGTGAGAATTTCAAGCCTAGAAACCGATCGAATCTTATATTTCTTCATTCACTAAAAACAAATTAATAATGTATGATTGGTTGTCTACAAACCATAAGTCGCTGAATGTTTTTTCTGCACCGCTGATCGTAATCAACGCTATCACCCGTTTCTCATTTGGCAGCTGTAATCGGACATCAATCGTCGTAAAATTCAGGCTTTTTTTGTAATTACGCACCTTACTAAGATGAAATAACATGAGGAGCTTTGGCACCGAAAAAAAAATTCGCAGCGTGCATTTTACAGACGCGCTATCATTTCTGTCATCGATGTAGAGAACTACATCAAGGCTGGCAGTTGGTAGGCGTTTATGCGGTTACTTAAACCTGTTGATTATAAGTTAAAGGTTCACCTAATAATTAATACTTCATCTAAGCGCGAAAACACAATAAATCTTGGATCGGAATCACTTGGCGCGATCTCATCATGGAGGCCGAAGTCTTCGATCGATCGGCTGAGCTTTCTAGAGTTACGGCATCCAAATACGACCCCAAAAATCGCTGGTAAGTGCTGACGAAAAGTTAATGTGGAATCAAGCCGAATGCTTTTGCAAAGAAAGAAATGTTTCGTCTATTCCCCGATGACTGCAATACCTTCTGTCCCGCCAGCGAGAATTTCCAGTAGATGGATTCGTGAGGTCTCAAAATATAATCCTGTTGTTTATTCGGCGCTCAATCAAATCGCTCTTGACCGTACACTTTAGCCGGGAATGTCTTTAGTCGAATAATCATGGGGAATTGCAAAGATGTCAGTCAAGAATAGCCGAGCTTGACAACAACATTCGGGAACTAGTATGTTAGAATGATTTTATAAGTTAACGGTGGATGCCTCAACTTTCAGTCGAAAGAAAAGGTCAAGACTACGTGCGGTCTCCTGATATTAATAAGTGTTAAATTCAATTTTTCGTGCCCTCTTGGGTAGTTTATACCCGAGGGTTAATTTTTAAAATCTTCTATAATCCTCTTGGGAAGTGTATACCTGAGGGTTACTTTTAATCTCTTCTATACCCTCTTGGGTAGTGTATACCTAAAGGTTATTTTAAATATATTCTACACCCTCTTGTGTAGTGTATACCTGAGGATTATTATTAATCTCTTCTATACCCTCTTAGGTAATGCATACCTGAGGGTTATTTTTTATTTCTTCTATACCCCCTTGGGTAGTGTATACCTGAGGGTTATTTTCAATCTCTCCTGTACCCCCTTGGGTAGTGTACACCTAAGGGTTATTTTTAATCTCTATTATACCCTCCTGGGTATTGTACACTTGAGGGTTATTTTTAATCTCTTCTTTACCCTCCTTACACGGCAGTTGCGTCGGACGGTATTCATAAGTGTGAATTTTCTTACAATGACCTAAAATG